CATCTGTTCCATCTCACGCCCTCCTACAGCAGCGTGTGTGGACTAATCTCCATCTGTTCCATCTGACTCCCTCCTACAGCAGAGAGTGTGTACTAATCTCCATCTGTTCCATCTCACTCCCTCCTACAGCAGAGTGTGTGGACTAATCTCCATCTGTTCCATCTCACTCCCTCCTACGGCAGAGAGTGTGGACTAATCTCAATCTGTTCCATCTCACTCCCTCCTACAGCAGAGTGTGTGGACTAATCTCAATCTGTTCCATCTCACTCCCTCCTACAGCAGAGAGTGTGGACTAATCTCCATCTGTTCCATCTCACTCCCTCCTACAGCAGAGTGTGTGGACTAATCTCCATCTGTCGCATCACCGTCACTGCCATCATCATCACCACCATCACTAACCACCACCACCATCATCATCACCACCACCATCGTCACCATCACCACAGCTATCACCCACCACCACTTTTTTTGTGGTGGTGGTTGTTGTAGTGGTTGTGGAGTGGGTGGGTGAGTGAGTGGGTGGGTGAGTGAGTGAGTGGGTGAGTGAGTGAATGAGTGAGTGGGTGGGTGAATGAGTGTGTGAATGGGTGGGTGGGTGGGTGAGTGGGTGAATGAGTGGGTGGGTGAGTGAGTGGGTGAATGAGTGGGTGGGTGAGTGAGTGAGTGGGTGGGTGAGTGGGTGGGTGAGTGGGTGGGTGGGTGGGTAGGTGAGTGAGTGGGTGGGTGAGTGAGTGAGTGGGTGAGTGGGTGAGTGAGTGAATGAGTGAGTAGGTGAGTGAGTGGGTTGGTGAGTGAGTGGGTGGGTGAGTGGGTGAGTGAGTGAGTGAGTGAATGAGTGAGTGGGTGAGTGAGTGGGTGGGTGAGTGGGTGAGTGAGTGAGTGGGTGAGTGAGTGAATGAGTGAGTGGGTGAGTGGGTGAGTGGGTGAGTGAGTGAGTGGGTGGGTGAGTGAGTGAGTGGGTGAGTGGGTGGGTGAGTGAGTGAGTGAGTGAATGAGTGAGTGAATGAGTGAGTGAATGAGTGAGTGAGTGATGAGTGAGTGGGTGGGTGAGTGAATGAGTGAGTGAGTGAATGAGTGAGTGAATGAGTGAGTGAATGAGTGAGTGAGTGAACGAATGAGTGGGTGAACGTCTTCTCGTCTCCGTGTCTCCATTTCCCCCGGTTTCCGCTTCTCCGTGTCTCCACGTCTCAGTGTCTCCGTGTCTCCTGCTCCCCGTGTCCCCGTTGTCCCGTTGTCCCCGTGTCTCCCCGGCTCTCCGTCTCTCCATGGGTGTCTCACTCGGGGAGACGCAGAGCCTCCTTGTCCCCGCAGCGTCCCCCATCGAAGTGTCTCGCGAGGGGGACACACGCGCTGGTGTCTCAGGGAGACACCAGCACGTCCGTCTCCCCGTGCACCTGGCTGAGCTGCGTGCAGTGCAAAGAGACGAGGAGCTTCCGCTGGCCGGGACGCTCAGGTAGCAGCGTCTCACGCAGGCGGACAACCCCCCCGCGGGACACGTTCCTGGGGACGCGGGGGTGAGACAAGGGGGGTGAGACAAGGGGGGTGAGACGAGACAAGGGGGTGAGACAAGGGGGTGAGACAAGGGGGTGAGACGCAGGGTGAGACACGGGGTGAGACGCGGGGTGAGACACGGGGTGAGACACGGGGTGAGATGCGGGGGTGAGACACGGGGTGAGACAAGGGGTGAGACGCGGGGGTGAGACACGGGGTGAGACACGGGGAGAGACGCGGGGTGAGACACGGGGTGAGACACACGGGGAGAGACACTGGGAGAGACACTGGGAGAGACACGGGGAGAGACACTGGGAGAGACACTGGGAGAGACACTGGGAGAGACACGGGGAGAGACACTGGGAGAGACACGGGGAGAGACACGGGGTGAGACACGGGGTGAGACACGGGGTGAGACACGGGGAGAGACGCGGGGAGAGACGCGGGGTGAGACGCGGGGGTGAGACACGGGGTGAGACACGGGGTGAGACACGGGGTGAGACACGGGGGTGAGACACGGGGTGAGACGCGGGGTGAGACACGGGGAGAGACACGGGGTGAGACGCGGGGTGAGACACGGGGAGAGACACGGGGTGAGACACGGGGAGAGACACGGGGTGAGACACGGGGAGAGACACGGGGTGAGACACGGGGTGAGACACGGGGTGAGACACGGGGAGAGACACGGGGTGAGACACGGGGTGAGACACGGGGTGAGACACGGGGAGAGACACGGGGTGAGACAAGGGGGTGGGACACGGGACAGACGGTGCTGTGCGCCAGTGGTGCGGTGTGGCGGGGTGCCGGTGGTGTGGTGGTGTTGTTGTGGTGGTGTGGTGGTGTTGTTGTGGTGGTGTGGTGGTGGTGTTGTTGTGGTGGTGGTGTTGTTGTGGTGGTGTGGTGTTGTGGTGGTGTGGTGGTGTGGTGGTGGTGTTGTGGTGGTGGTGGGTTTGTGGTGTTGTTGTGGTGTGGTTGTTGTTGTGGTGTGGTTGTTGTTGTTGTTGTGGTGTTGTTGTTGTTGTAGTGTTGTTGTTGTGTTGTTGTAGTGTTGTTGTAGTGTTGTTGTTGTGTTGTTGTTGTGTTGTTGTGGTGTTGTTGTGGTGTTCTTGTTGTGGTGTTGTGTTGGTGTGGTGTTGTGTTGTTGTGGTGTTGTTGTGGTGTTGTTGTGGTGTTGTTGTTGTGTTGTTGTGGTGTTGTTGTGTTGTTGTGGTGTTGTTGTGGTGTTGTTGTGTTGTTGTGTTGTTGTGTTGGTGTTGTTGTTGTTGTGTTGTTGTGTTGTTGTGTTGTTGTTGTGTTGTTGTGTTGTTGTTGGTGTTGTGTTGTTGTTGTGTTGTTGTTGTGGTGTTGTGTTGTTGTTGGTGTTGTGTTGTTGTTGTGTTGTTGTTGTGGTGTTGTGTTGTGGTGTGTTGTTGTTGTTGTTGTGTTGTTGTTGTGTTGTTGTTGTGTTGTTGTTGTGTTGTTATTGTGTTGTTGTGTTGTTGTTGTGTTGTTGTGTTGTTGTTGTGTTGTTGTGTTGTTGTGTTGTTTTGTGTTGTTGTGTTGTTGTGTTGTTGTGTTGTTGTTGTGGTGGTGTTGTTGTTGTGTTAGTGTTGTTGTTGTGTTGTTGTGTTGTTGTTGTGTTGTTGTTGTGTTGTTGTGTTGTTGTTTTGTTGTGTTGTTGTTGTGTTGTTGTGTTGGTGTTGTTGTGTTGTTGTTGTTGTGGTGTTGTTGTTGTGTTAGTGTTGTTGTGTGTTGTTGTTGTGGTGTTGTTGTGGTGTTGTTGTTGTGTTAGTGTTGTTGTGTGTTGTTGTTGTGGTGTTGTGGTGTTGTTGTTGTTGTGTTGGTGTTGTTGTGCTGTTGTTGTTGTTGTGTTGTTGTTGTGTTGTTGTTGTTGTGGTGGGTACCCGTGCTTGATGACGCGAGGGCTCTGCAGGCCGGGCCCCTCCAAGCGGAATGAGACATCCCTTAGCAGGTGTGGGAGAGGGTTCTCAAAGAGCACCTCCACCGTCAGAGGCTCTCCCACACGGCACTCATCAGCACACTGAGTGTCAACAACAACAACAACATCAACAACATCACCATCACCACCTCCACCGTCAGAGGCTCGCCCACACGGCACTCGTCAGCACACTGAGTGTCAACAACATCACCATCAACAACAACATCAACATCATCAACATCACCACCTCCACCGTCAGAGGCTCTCCCACACGGCACTCATCAGCACACTGAGTGTCAACAACAACAACAACATCAACAACATCACCATCAACATCACCATCACCACCTCCACCGTCAGAGGCTCTCCCACACGGCACTCGTCAGCACACTGAGTGTCAACAACAACATCAACATCAACAACAACATCACCACCTCCACCGTCAGAGGCTCTCCCACACGGCACTCATCAGCACACTGAGTGTCAACATCAACATCATCACCATCAACAACACCAACATCAACATCACCATCACCACCTCCACCGTCAGAGGCTCTCCCACACGGCACTCATCAGCACACTGAGTGTCAACATCAACATCATCATCACCACCTCCACCGTCAGAGGCTCGCCCACACGGCACTCGTCAGCACACTGAGTGTCAACAACAACAACATCACCACCTCCACCGTCAGAGGCTCTCCCACACGGCACTCATCAGCACACTGAGTGTCAACACCAACATCAACATCACCATCACCACCTCCACCGTCAGAGGCTCTCCCACACGGCACTCATCAGCACACTGAGTGTCAACAACAACAACAACATCAACAACACCACCTCCACCGTCAGAGGCTCTCCAACACGGCACTCATCAGCACACTGAGTGTCAACAACATCACCATCAACATCACCATCAACAACAACATCACCACCTCCACCGTCAGAGGCTCTCCCACACGGCACTCGTCAGCACACTGAGTGTCAACAACACAACAACATCACCATCACCATCAACAACAACATCACCATCACCACCTCCACCGTCAGAGGCTCTCCCACACGGCACTCGTCAGCACACTGAGTGTCAACAACAACAACATCACCATCAACAACAACAACATCATCACCATCACCACCTCCACCGTCAGAGGCTCTCCCACACGGCACTCGTCAGCACACTGAGTGTCAACAACAACAACAACATCACCATCACCATCAACAACAACATCACCACCTCCACCGTCAGAGGCTCTCCCACACGGCACTCGTCAACACACTGAGTGTCAACAACACAACAACATCACCATCACCATCAACAACAACATCACCACCTCCACCGTCAGAGGCTCTCCCACACGGCACTCGTCAGCACACTGAGTGTCAACAACAACAACATCAACAACAACAACATCACCATCAACATCAACACCTCCACCGTCAGAGGCTCTCCCACACGGCACTCGTCAGCACACTGAGTGTCAACAACAACAACATCACCATCAACAACAACAACAACATCATCACCATCACCACCTCCACCGTCAGAGGCTCTCCCACACGGCACTCATCAGCACACTGAGTGTCAACAACATCCACCACCTCCACCGTCAGAGGCTCTCCCACACGGCACTCGTCAGCACACTGAGTGTCAACAACAACAACATCAACATCACCACCTCCACCGTCAGAGGCTCTCCCACACGGCACTCATCAGCACACTGAGTGTCAACAACATCACCATCACCACCTCCACCGTCAGAGGCTCTCCCACACGGCACTCGTCAGCACACTGAGTGTCAACAACAACATCATCAACAACAACATCACCATCACCACCTCCACCGTCAGAGGCTCTCCCACACGGCACTCGTCAGCACACTGCAGTGTCAACAACAACAACAACATCAACAACACCATCACCATCAACAACAACATCACCAACATCACCATCAACAACACCAACATCAACATCACCATCACCACCTCCACCGTCAGAGGCTCTCCCACACGGCACTCGTCAGCACACTGCAGTGTCAACAACAACAACAACATCAACAACACCATCACCATCAACAACAACATCACCAACATCACCATCAACAACACCAACATCAACATCACCATCACCACCTCCACCGTCAGAGGCTCTCCCACACGGCACTCGTCAGCACACTGAGTGTCAACAACAACAACAACATCACCATCAACATCACCATCAACAACAACAACAACATCATCACCATCACCACCTCCACCGTCAGAGGCTCGCCCACACGGCACTCATCAGCACACTGAGTGTCAACAACAACAACATCATCACCATCACCACCTCCACCGTCAGAGGCTCTCCAACACGGCACTCTTCAGCACACTGAGTGTCAACAACAACAACATCAACATCACCATCAACATCAACATCACCATCAACAACAACAACAACATCATCACCATCACCACCTCCACCGTCAGAGGCTCTCCCACACGGCACTCATCAGCACACTGAGTGTCAACATCAACAACATCAACAACATCAACAACAACATCACCATCAACAACAACATCACCATCAACATCACCATCAACAACAACATCACCATCACCATCAACAACAACATCAACACCTCCACCGTCAGAGGCTCTCCCACACGGCACTCGTCAGCACACTGAGTGCCAACAACATCAACATCACCATCAACATCACCATCAACATCAACATCACCAACACCAACATCACCATCACCACCTCCACCGTCAGAGGCTCTCCCACACGGCACTCGTCAGCACACTGAGTGTCAACAACAACAACAACATCAACAATATCACCATCATCATCACCATCAACAACATCAACAACAACATCACCATCAACAACAACAACATCAACAACATCAACAACAACATCACCATCAACAACATCAACAACAACATCACCATCAACAACAACATCACCATCAACAACATCAACAACAACATCAACATCACCATCAACATCATCACCATCACCACCTCCACCGTCAGAGGCTCGCCCACACGGCACTCGTCAGCACACTGAGTGTCAACAACAACAACAACATCAACAATATCACCATCATCATCACCATCAACAACAACAACATCATCACCATCACCACCTCCACCGTCAGAGGCTCTCCCACACGGCACTCGTCAGCACACTGAGTGTCAACATCAACAACATCATTACCATCAACAACAACATCACCAACAACAACAACAACAACATCAACAACAACATCAACATCACCATCAACAACAACATCACCATCAACAACAACATCATCACCACCTCCACCGTCAGAGGCTCGCCCACACGGCACTCGTCAGCACACTGAGTGTCAACATCAACAACATCAACAACATCAACAACAACAACAACATCAACAACAACATCAACATCACCATCAACATCACCATCAACAACAACAACATCATCACCATCACCACCTCCACCGTCAGAGGCTCTCCCACACGGCACTCGTTAGCACACTGAGTATCAACATCAACAACAACAACACCTCCACGGTGAGAGGCTCGCCCACACGGCACTCGTCAGCACACTGAGTATCAACATCAACAACAACATCATCACCATCAACAACAACAACAACATCATCGTGGCAGCAACAGGCGATGGTAGCGGCGGTGGTGGTGGTGGTGCTGGTGGTTGTGGAGGAGGTGGTGGTGGTGGAGGTGGTGGTTGTGGTGGTGGAGGTGGTGGTGGCGAGGGCGGTGCTGGTGGTGGTTGTGATGGTGGAGGAGGTGGCGGTGACGGTGACGGTGGTGGTGATGGTGGTGCTGGTGGTGGTGGTGGTGATGGTGGTGGCGGTGGTGGTGGTGGTGGTGGCGGTGGTGGTGGTGGTGGTGGCGGTGGTGGTGGTGGAGGCGGTGCTGGTGGTGGTGACGGTGACGATGGTGGTAGTGGTGATGGTGGTGGAGGCGGTGGTGGTTGTGGTGGTGGAGGAGGTGGCGGTGACGGTGGTGGCGGTGGTGATGGTGGCGGTGTTTGTGGAGGTGGTGGTGGTGGAGGTGGTGGCGTGGGCGGTGGTGGTGGTGGAGGTGGTGGCGTGGGCGGTGCTGGTGGTGGTTGTGGTGGTGGTGGTAGTGGTGATGGTGGTGGTGGTGGTGGAGGTGGTGGTGGTGGTTGTGGTGGTGGTAGTGGTGATGGTGGTGGTGGCAGTGGTGGTGGAGGTGGTGGTGGTGGTGGTGGTTGTGGTGCTGGTGGTAGTTGTGGTGGTGGTAGTGGTGGAGGCGGTGGAGGCGGTGGTGGTGGTGGTGGTGGTGGCAGTGGTGGTGGAGGCGGTGGTAGTGGTGATGGTGGTGCTGGTGGTAGTTGTGGTGGTGGTGGAGGCGGTGGAGGCGGTGGTGGCGGTGATGGTGGTGGTGGCAGTGGTGGTGGAGGTGGTGGTGGAGGGGCTGGTGGTGGTGGTGGTGGCGGTGGTGGTGGTAGTGGCGGTGGACCCACGGTGACGAGCAGCTTGGGCGTGCACAAGCGGAAGCAGTGCTGCCGCGTGAGGATGGCGTTGCCGGGGTTGACGCGTGCCGACACCAGGAACATGACGGCGCTCTGGTCCACCAGGCGCTCCAGATACTCGCCCTGACGCACGGTCACCGTCAGCACACGCTCTGTGGGGACACGGGGGGGGGGGGCAAAACCGAGGGGGGGGGGGCACGGGGGGGGGGGCAACGGGGGGGGGCACGGGGGATGAGACGTGAGAGGAGACACCCTGTCTTCACCCTGTCCCCCCCCCCCCCGTGTCTCCATCTCCCCCTCCCCGTGTCTCCATCTCCCCCCCCCCCGTGTCTCCATCTCCCCCCCCCCCGTGTCTCCATCTCCCCCCCTCCCGTGTCTCCATCTCCCCCCCCCCGTGTCTCCATCTCCCCCCCCCGTGTCTCCATCTCCCCCCCCCGTGTCTCCATCCCCCCCCTCCCCGTGTCTCCATCTCCCCCTCCCCGTGTCTCCATCTCCCCCCCCCGTGTCTCCATCTCCCCCCCCCCCGTGTCTCCATCTCCCCCCCCCCCGTGTCTCCATCTCCCCCCTCCTGTGTCTCCATCTCCCCCTCCCCGTGTCTCCATCTCCCCCCCCCGTGTCTCCATCTCCCCCTCCCCGTGTCTCCATCTCCCCCCCCCCCGTGTCTCCATCTCCCCCCCCCCCGTGTCTCCATCTCCCCCCCCCCCGTGTCTCCATCTCCCCCCTCCTGTGTCTCCATCTCCCCCTCCCCGTGTCTCCATCTCCCCCCTCCCGTGTCTCCATCTCCCCCTCCCCATGTCTCCATCTCCCCCTCCCCGTGTCTCCATCTCCCCCCCTCCTTGTCACTCTATCCTCCCCCATGCCCCTCCCCCATGCCCCCCATGCCCCTCCCCCATGCCCCCCATGCCCCTCCCCCATGCCCCTCCCCCGTGCCCCCCCCCATGATCCCCCCCGTGCCCCCGCGTTACCTTCCCCAGGCTGCAGTGTCACGTCCAGCTTGAGTTGCTTGATGGCCTCCCCACGTGTCACTCCGGTGTAGTGCATCACCGCCCCGCGCACAAACACGCTCACCTGACGCTCACTCACCGCCGTGCTGCTCACCGTCACCGACACCTGCTCACCACCACCACCACAACACCACCATCACCATTACATCACCATTACATCACCACCACAACAACATCATAACCACCATTACATCACCATTACATCACCACCACCACAACACCACAACACCATCACCATTACATCACCATTACATCACCACCACCACAACACCACAACACCATCACCATTACATCACCACCACCACAACACCACAACACCATCACCATTACATCACCACCACTACAACATCATCACCACACCACCATCACCGCACCACCACCACCACACCACCACACCAGCACCATTACATCACCACCACCACAACATCACCACCACCACATTACATCACCATCACCACCACCATCACCACCACCACCATTACATCACCACCACCCCCATCACCACCACCACCACCACCACATCACCACCACCACATTACATCACCATCACCACCACCATCACCACCACCACCATTACATCACCACCACCCCCATCACCACCACCACACCACCACCACCACCACCACATTACATCACCACCATTACATCACCACCATTACATCACCACCATTACACCACCATCACCACCACCACACCACCATCACCACCACCACCATTTCACCACCACCACCTCATCACCACACCACCACCACCACACCACCACCACCACACCACCACCACCACCCCACCACCACCACACCACCACCGGCACGCACTGCAGACGCAACTCAATGCGTAGGGCCCATGCTACACATGGCCCCGTGTCCCCGTGTCCCCGTGTCTCCGTTTCTCTGTCCGCGTGTCTCCCCGTGTCTCCCGGTGTCTCCCCGTGTCTCCCCCCGTGTCTCCCCGTAACCCCCACCCATGTCCCCCCCCCCCATGCCCCGCTCGTGGCCCCCCATCTGCCCCCCCCTCCCCCACCCATGCCCCCCCCCCCACCCAACTCCCCAGCCACCCCGGCGTGTCCTCACGTCAAAGTCGTGGCCCATGACGACTCTCTCGTGGGTGCTGATGGCCAGGGTCACGTCGGGAGAACTGGGCGAGCCACGGTACGTGTCTGGGCGGGAGCCGTGCAGACACGCCGTCTCTACCGCCAGACGCTCCTCCTCGGTGTCTATGTGCAGAGAGGCACGCGCACACGCGCGCGCATAGACACACACACACACATAGACACACTCGCACAAACACACACACATAGACACACACAGACACACACACATAAACACACACACAGACACACACACACATAGACACACACACAGACACACTCACACACACATAAACACACACACACACATAGACACACACACATAGACACACACGCACATAGAAACACACACACATAGACACACTCGTACAGACACACACACATAGACACACACACATAGACACACACACATAGACACACACACATAGACACACTCGCACAGACACACACACACATAGACACAACAACAACAACCGCCATTCACCACTAAGTGGCGGTGACATCACCCCGACGCTTGTGCCAGGACATGTACACTTTGATGCCACGTGAAGTGTCGAACGCCCGCTGGCAGGAGGTCATGGGGCAGACCCAGGTGCCACGGGTCGACTGACTGAGATGACTGGCTGATGCACCACCTGTGCCCCCTACTGTGCCAACTTGCTGTGCTTTAGCCACCCGGCGCTCCGCTCGTTGTTGTGAGCGTCGCACCTCCGCCCTCCATTGTTGTTGGAGGGCGACTGCCTCCAACTGCCCAGCAGCGTCCTTCACGAGCCTCCTCCACAGAGGCCGATCTTGACACCGCTGGTACCGGTCATCGGCAAGTCCACTCAGCTTCACGTCCTCCTCTATCACATCACTCCATCTCTCCTCTAGCCCGTGCCGTACCTGTTTAGCCCTCTCTATCCGGCTGAACAAAAGCTGTTTAGGCATGCGGTGACTGGGCATGCGGGCTACATCACCCAGCCAACGCAGCCTTGCCTGCCGTGGGAGCTCACCGATGGGACTTTGTCCAGATCTTTCAAGGATTTGTGAACGTCTCACAAAATCTAGCCTGGTTAAACCCAGGATGGATCGTAGGCTGGCCAGCCTAAATGTTTCCAACTGGCGAAGATGTTCCATTAGGGGGGTCCACGTTTCGCAAGCGTAGAGAAGGGAGGGAATGACCGTGGCCGAGAAGACCTGAAGCTTCGTGCAGAGCGACAGACCAGGTAGGTTCCACACAGCGTTACGCAACCGATGAAAGATAATGCCGCTCGACTGATTCTGAGTGAGACCTCTGCTGTCAAACTGGAGCCAGTCATAAGCACACTGCCCAGGTATGGGAAACTCTCCACTCTCTCCACAACTGCCCCATCACCGATTTGGGTCGGTGGAGTGCCCGATGGTACCCAGGCAGGTGATTAGTTTTGGTGGGGCTGATGGTAAGGCCCCACCTCTTAGTGGCACGCTCCAGTTTCAGCAGCAGCACTTCCAACTCCTCCTCTGAGTGAGTGGCAATTACCAAATCATCAGCATACATAACGTGGTTGAGCAATAGGGAGCCATCCCTTGACCGCACCCGGGCATCGATCTGCTCCCATTATATCTGTACCAGGTGGAAATTCCTCCGGTACAGCTATTGAAGGCTTCATGAACTACGTGGTCGAAAAAGATGTTAAATAATGTGGGAGTCAGAGGACATCCCTGTCACACCGCAAGGTGAACAGGGAATGGCTCCGACTCCCGGCCACGTAGTTTTACCTGGACCCGCTCACCATCATGAAGGTCCTTAATGATCGTGAGCAGAAGGTCAGGGACTCCAAAAGCACGAAGAACAACCCAGAGCCCAGGCCTACTGATTGTATCATAGGCCTTGACCAGGTCAATAAAGCAGAGATGTAGGCTTTGTTGGAATTCCCTACACCTCTGCTGTAGCAGACGGACAGAAAATATGGCATCTGTGCAGGACCGCCCTTTCCTGAAACCGCATTGGGGCTCCGCAAGCCTCTCCACAGCGTGCCTGGCAAGGCGATATTGAATAATCCTTGCCAGGACCTTTCCCGGCACACTGAGGATAGAGATGCCCCTGTAGTTCTTACAGTCTGTGTAGTCCCCCTTCTGAAAGAGGGGGACCTCCAGGCATCCTTCCAATCCTGCGGAGATGCGTAGACTGCTCACCACAGACTACTCGCACAATAGAGACCCATAGACTACTCACACACAGAGACCCACAGACTACTCTCACAGTAGAGACCCACAGACTGCTCACACAGTAGCGACCCACAGACTACTCACACAGTAGAGACCCACAGACTACTCACACAGTAGAGACCCACAGACTACTCACACAGTAGAGACCCATAGACTACTCACACAGTAGAGACCCACAGACTACTCACACAGTACAGACCCACAGACCGCTCACACAGTAGACACCCACAGACTACTCACACAGTAGAGACCCACAGACTACTCACACAGTAGAGACCCACAGACTATTCACAGAGTAGAGACCCACAGACTACTTACACAGAGACCCACAGACTACTCACAGAGTAGAGACCCACAGACTACTCACACAGTAGAGACCCACAGACTACTCACACAGTAGAGACCCACAGACTACTCACACAGTAGAGACCCACAGAGACTACTCACACAGTAGAGACCCACAGACTACTCACACAGTAGACACCCACAGACTACTCACACAGTAGAGACCCACAGACTACTCACACAGTAGAGACCCATAGACTACTCACACAGTAGAGACCCACAGACTACTCACACAGTAGAGACCCACAGACTACTCACACAGTAGAGACCCACAGACTACTCACACAGTAGAGACCCACAGACTACTCACACAGTAGAGACCCATAGACTACTCACACAGTAGAGACCCACAGACTACTCACGCAGTAGAGAGACCCACAGACTACTCACACAGTAGAGACCCACAGACTACTCACACAGTAGAGACCCACAGACTACTCACACAGTAGAGACCCACAGACTACTCACACAGCAGAGACCCACAGACTACTCACACAGTAGAGACCCACAGACTACTCACACAGTAGAGACCTACAGACTACTCACACAGTAGAGACCCACAGACTAGTCACACAGAGACCCACAGACTACTCACACAGTAGAGACCCACAGACTACTCACACAGTAGAGTCCCACAGACTACTCACACAGTAGAGACCTACAGACTACTCACACAGTAGAGACCCACAGACTACTCACACAGCAGAGACCTACTCACACAGTAGAGACCCATAGACTACTCACACAGTAGAGACCTACTCACACAGTAGAGACCCACAGACTACTCACACAGTAGAGACCCACAGACTACTCACACAGTAGAGACCCACAGACTACTCACACAGTAGAGACCCACAGACTACTCACACAGTAGACACCCACAGACTACTCACGCAGTAGAGACCCACAGACTACTCACACAGTAGAGACCCACAGACTACTCACACAGTAGAGACCCACAGACTACTCACACAGTAGAGACCCACAGACTACTCACACAGTAAAGACCCACAGACTACTCACACAGTAGAGACCCACAGACTACTCACACAGTAGAGACCCACTGACTACTCACACAGTAGAGACCCATAGACTACTCACACAGTAGAGACCCACAGACTACTCACACAGTAGAGACCTACAGACTACTCACACAGTAGAGACCCACAGACTAGTCACACAGAGACCCACAGACTACTCACACAGTAGAGACCCACAGACTACTCACACAGTAGAGTCCCACAGACTACTCACACAGTAGAGACCTACAGACTACTCACACAGTAGAGACCCACAGACTACTCACACAGCAGAGACCTACTCACACAGTAGAGACCCATAGACTACTCACACAGTAGAGACCTACTCACACAGTAGAGACCCACAGACTACTCACACAGTAGAGACCCACAGACTACTCACACAGTAGAGACCCATAGACTACTCACACAGTAGACACCCATAGACTACTCACACAGTAGAGACCCACAGACTACTCACACAGTAGAGACCCACAGACTACTCACACAGTAGAGACCCACAGACTACTCACACAGTAGAGACCCACAGACTACTCACACAGTAGAGACCCACAGACTACTCACACAGCAGAGACCCACAGACTACTCACACAGTAGAGACCCACAGACTACTCACACAGTAGAGACCCACAGACTACTCACACAGCAGAGACCCACAGACTACTCACACAGTAGAGACCCACAGACCACTCACACAGTAGAGACCCACAGACTACTCACACAGTAGAGACCCACAGACTACTCACACAGTAGAGACCCACAGACTACTCACACAGTAGAGACCCACAGACTACTCACACAGTAGAGACCCACAGACTACTCACACAGAGAGAGACCCACAGACTACTCACACAGTAGAGACCCACAGACTACTCACACAGTAGAGACCCACAGACTACTCACACAGAGAGAGACCCACAGACTACTCACACAGTAGAGACCCACAGACTACTCACACAGTAGAGACCCACAGACTACTCACACAGTAGAGACCCACAGACTACTCACACAGAGAGAGACCCACAGACTACTCACACAGTAGAGACCCACAGACTACTCACACAGTAGAGACCCACAGACTACTCACACAGTAGAGACCCACAGACTACTCACACAGTAGAGACCCACAGACTACTCACACAGTAGAGACCCACAGACTACTCACACACAGAGACCCACAGACTACTCACACAGTAGAGACCCCACAGACTACTCACACAGTAGAGACCTACAGACTACTCACACAGTAGAGACCCACAGACTACTCACACAGTAGAGACCCACAGACTACTCACACAGTAGAGACCTACTCACACAGTAGAGACCCATAGACTACTCACACAGTAGAGACCCACAGACTACTCACACAGTAGAGAGACCCACAGGCTACTCACACAGTAGAGACCCACAGACTACTCACACAGTAGAGACCCACAGACTACTCACACAGTAGAGACCCACAGACTACTCACACAGTAGAGACCCATAGACTACTCACACACAGTAGAGACCCACAGACTACTCACACAGTAGAGACCCACAGACTACTCACACAGTAGAGACCCACAGACTACTCACACAGTAGAGACCCACAGACTACTCACACAGTAGAGACCCATAGACTACTCACACACAGTAGAGACCCACAGACTACTCACACAGTAGAGACCCACAGACTACTCACACAGTAGAGACCCACAGACTACTCACACAGTAGAGACCTACTCACACAGTAGAGACCCACAGACTACTCACACAGTAGAGACCCACAGACTACTCACACAGTAGAGACCCACAGACTACTCACACAGTAGAGACCTACTCACACAGTAGAGACCCACAGACTACTCACACAGTAGAGACCCACAGACTACTCACACAGTAGAGACCCACAGACTACTCACACAGTAGAGACCCACAGACTACTCACACAGAGAGAGACCCACAGACTACTCACACAGTAGAGACCCACAGACTACTCACACAGTAGAGACCCACAGACTACTCACACAGTAGAGACCCACAGACTACTCACACAGTAGAGACCCACAGACTACTCACACAGTAGAGACCCACAGACTACTCACACACAGAGACCCACAGACTACTCACACAGTAGAGACCCCACAGACTACTCACACAGTAGAGACCTACAGACTACTCACACAGTAGAGACCCACAAACTACTCACACAGTAGAGACCCACAGACTACTCACACAGTAGAGACCTACTCACACAGTAGAGACCCATAGACTACTCACACAGTAGAGACCCACAGACTACTCACACAGTAGAGAGACCCACAGGCTACTCACACAGTAGAGACCCACAGACTACTCACACAGTAGAGACCCACAGACTACTCACACAGTAGAGACACACAGACTACTCACACAGTAGAGACCCATAGACTACTCACACACAGTAGAGACCCACAGACTACTCACACAGTAGAGACCCACAGACTACTCACACAGTAGAGACCCACAGACTACTCACACAGTAGAGACCCACAGACTACTCACACAGTAGAGACCCATAGACTACTCACACACAGTAGAGACCCCCAGACTACTCACACAGTAGAGACCCACAGACTACTCACACAGTAGAGACCCACAGACTACTCACACAGTAGAGACCTACTCACACAGTAGAGACCCACAGACTACTCACACAGTAGAGACCCACAGACTACTCACACAGTAGAGACCCACAGACTACTCACACAGTAGAGACCCACAGACTACTCACACAGTAGAGACCCACAGACTACTCACACAGTAGAGACCCACAGACTACTCACACAGTAGAGACCCATAGACTACTCACACACAGTAGAGACCCACAGACTACTCACACAGTAGAGACCCACAGACTACTCACACAGTAGAGACCCACAGACTACTCACACAGTAGAGACCCACAGACTACTCACACAGTAGAGACCCATAGACTACTCACACACAGTAGAGACCCACAGACTACTCACACAGTAGAGACCCACAGACTACTAACACAGTAGAGACCCACAGACTAATCACACAGTAGAGACCTACTCACACAGTAGAGACCCACAGACTACTCACACAGTAGAGACCCACAGACTACTCACACAGTAGAGACCCACAGACTACTCACACAGTAGAGACCTACTCACACAGTAGAGACCCACAGACTACTCACACAGTAGAGACCCACAGACTACTCACACAGTAGAGACCCACAGACTACTCACACAGTAGAGACCCACAGACTACTCACACAGAGAGAGACCCACAGACTACTCACACAGTAGAGACCCACAGACTACTCACACAGTAGAGACCCACAGACTACTCACACAGTAGAGACCCACAGACTACTCACACAGTAGAGACCCACAGACTACTCACACAGTAGAGACCCACAGACTACTCACACACAGAGACCCACAGACTACTCACACAGTAGAGACCCCACAGACTACTCACACAGTAGAGACCTACAGACTACTCACACAGTAGAGACCCACAAACTACTCACACAGTAGAGACCCACAGACTACTCACACAGTAGAGACCTACTCACACAGTAGAGACCCATAGACTACTCACACAGTAGAGACCCACAGACTACTCACACAGTAGAGAGACCCACAGGCTACTCACACAGTAGAGACCCACAGACTACTCACACAGTAGAGACCCACAGACTACTCACACAGTAGAGACCCACAGACTACTCACACAGTAGAGACCCACAGACTACTCACACACAGTAGAGACCCACAGACTACTCACACAGTAGAGACCCACAGACTACTCACACAGTAGAGACCCACAGACTACTCACACAGTAGAGACCCACAGACTACTCACACAGTAGAGACCCATAGACTACTCACACACAGTAGAGACCCACAGACTACTCACACAGTAGAGACCCACAGACTACTCACACAGTAGAGACCCACAGACTACTCACACAGTAGAGACCTACTCACACAGTAGAGACCCACAGACTACTCACACAGTAGAGACCCACAGACTACTCACACAGTAGAGACCCACAGACTACTCACACAGTAGAGACCTACTCACACAGTAGAGACCCACAGACTACTCACACAGTAGAGACCCACAGACTACTCACACAGTAGAGACCCACAGACTACTCACACAGTAGAGACCCACAGACTACTCACACAGTAGAGACCCACAGACTACTCACACAGTAGAGACCCATAGACTACTCACACACAGTAGAGACCCACAGACTACTCACACAGTAGAGACCCACAGACTACTCACACAGTAGAGACCCACAGACTACTCACACAGTAGAGACCTACTCACACAGTAGAGACCCACAGACTACTCACACAGTAGAGACCCACAGACTACTCACACAGTAGAGACCCACAGACTACTCACACAGTAGAGACCTACTCACACAGTAGAGACCCACAGACTACTCACACAGTAGAGACCCACAGACTACTCACACAGTAGAGACCCACAGACTACTCACACAGTAGAGACCTACTCACACAGTAGAGACCCACAGACTACTCACACAGTAGAGACCCACAGACTACTCACACAGTAGAGACCCACAGACTACTCACACAGTAGAGACCCACAGACTACTCACACAGTAGAGACCCACAGACTACTCACACAGTAGAGACCCACAGACTACTCACACAGTAGAGACCCACAGACTACTCACACAGTAGAGACCCACAGACTACTCACACAGTAGAGACCCACAGACTACTCACACAGTAGAGACCCACAGACTACTCACACAGTAGAGACCCACAGACTACTCACACACAGTAGAGACCCACAGACTACTCACACAGTAGAGACCCACAGACTACTCACACAGTAGAGACCCACAGACTACTCACACACAGTAGAGACCCACAGACTACTCACACAGTAGAGACCCATAGACTACTCACACAGTAGAGACCCACAGACTGCTCACACAGTAGAGACCCACAGACTACTCACACAATAGAGACCCACAGACTACTCACACAGTAGAGACCCACAGACTACTCACACAGTAGAGACCCACAGACTACTCACACAGTAGAGACCCACAGACTACTCACACAGTAGAGACCCACAGACTACTCACTTAATTTAGCTATTTCAATGCTAAATTCTATGCTAATTCCTTTTAACAATGGGTGCCTCTGCGGAGGTGTATGCTTTAACTTTTAACATAGCTATTTCTGTGACCAGTCACAAGCTAATCATTCAGCCTTTTCAATGCTAAATTTTATGCTAATTCCTTCGTCAAGGCTCTTTGTTCCTCTCACACAGCTTAAAAGCCGTGATCTGAACGTGGCTCTCTCACTCCAGCGCTGTCCTACCAGACAGTCTCGTCCCCTTCACCTGATGAAGGCCGCTTGTGTTGTGGCCGAAACGTCGTGAGAATATTATTGTGTTATTTTATTTTATCAATGTATTATTTTATTCTCATTCTACGTGGTGACTTTACCGAAAGAACCAAAGAAGAGAGAAAGCTGTGTCGCTGTGCGTACCTTCGGGGAACTTGTACAGGTGAGTGATGTCTTCCCGCGTGTCACTGCCCACCGCCTTGGTGCTGATGCAGTGGCCGATGGCCCGGCGCTCCACATCTAGCCGCTTCACCGTGCCGTCCGCACTGCGCAGCCAGAAGATCCGGTCGCTGTTCACCTGGACGCCACCGCCACAATCACCGCAGCCACCATAAACCACCGCCACAAACACCGCAGCGCTAGTCAGAAGATCCGGTCGCTGTTCACCTGGACGCCACCGCCACAATCACCGGAGTCACCATACACCACCACCACAATCACCGCAGCCACCATACACCACCACCGCCACAATCACCGCAGCCACCATAAACCACCACCGCCACAATCACCGTAGTCACCATAAACCACCACCACAATCACCGTAGTCACCATAAACTACCACCACAATCACCACCGCGCTAGTCAGAAGGTCCGGTAGCTGTTCACCCGGACACCACCGCCACAATCACCATAGTCACCATAAACCACCACCACAATCACCGTAGTCACCATACACCACCACCACAATCACCACCGCGCTAGTCAGAAGGTCCAGTCACTGTTCACCCGGACACCACCACCACAATCACCGTAGTCACCATACACCACCACCACAATCACCACAGCGCTAGTCAGAAGGTCCGGTAGCTGTACACCCAGACACCACCGCCACAATCACCGTAACCACCATACACCACCACAACCACAATCACCGTAACCACCATACACCACCACAACCACAATCACCGTAGCCACCATACACCACCACAACCACAATCACCGTAACCACCATACACCACCACAACCACAATCACCGTAGCCACCATACACCACCACCACCACAATCACCGTAGTCACCATAAACCACCGCCACAATCACCACCGCGCTAGTCAGAAGGTCCGGTAGCTGTACACCCGGACACCACCGCCACAATCGCCGTAGTCACCATAAACTACCACCACAATCACCGTAGTCACCATACACCACCACCACAATCACCGTAGCCACCATAAACCACCACCACAATCACCGCCGCGCTAGTCAGAAGGTCCCGTCGCTGTTCACCCGGACTCCACCACCACAATCGCCGTAGTCACCATAAACCACCACCACAATCACGGTAGTCACCATACACCACCACCACAATCACCATAGTCACCATACACCACCACCACAATCACAGTAGCCACCATAAACCACCACCACAATCACCACCGCGCTAGTCAGAAGGTCCGGTAGCTGTTCACCCGGACACCACTGCCACAATCACCGTAGCCACCATACACCACCACCACCACCACAATCACCACCGCACTAGTCAGAAGGTCCCGTCGCTGTTCACCTGGACACCACCACCACAATCACCGTAGCCACCATACACCACCACCGCCACAATCACCACCAAGCTAGTCAGAAGGTCCGGTAGCTGTACACCCGGACACCACCGCCACAATCACCATAGTCACCATACACCACCGCCACAATCACCGCAGCCACCATACACCACCGCCACAATCACCGTAGTCACCATAAACCACCACCACAATCACCACCGCGCTAGTCAGTAGGTCTGGTCGCTGTTCACCCGGACACCACCGCCACAATCACCGTAGCCACCATACACCACCACCACAATCACCACCGCGCTAGTCAGAAAGTCCGGTAGCTGTTCACCCGGACACCACCACGATCACCATAACCACCACCACGATCACCATAACCACCACCACAACCATCGCCACAATGGTGTTGGTGATGGCGATATTGGTGATGGTGATGGTGGTGATGTTGATGGTGGTGATGGTCATGTTAATGGTGGTAATGGTGATGGTGATGTTGATGGTGTTGATGTTGGTGATGTTGGTGATGGTGATGTTGATGATGTTGGTGATGGTGATGTTGGTGATGGTGATGTTGGTGATGTTGGTGACGGTGATGTTGGTGATGTTGGTGATTGTGATGTTGGTGATGTTGGTGATGGTGATGGTGATGTTGGTGATGGTAATAGTGGTGATGTTGATGTTGGTGATGGTGATGTTGGTGATGTTGATGATGGTGATGTTGGTGATGATGGTTATGGTGATGTTGATGGTGGCGATGTTGGTGATGGTGATGATGGCGATGTTGGTGATGTTGATGTTGGTGATGGTGATGTTGATGGTGGTGATGTTGGTGATGGTGATGTTAGTGATGATGATGTTGATGATGTTAGTGATGTTGGTGATGGTGATGTTAGTGATGTCGATGTTGGTGATGTTGGTGATGTTGGTGATGTTGGTGATGTTGATGTTAGTGATGATGATGTTGATGATGTTAGTGATGTTGGTGATGTCGATGTTGATGTTGGTGATGTTGGTGATGGTGATGTTGGTGATGGTGATGATGGTGATGTTGGTGATGTTGATGATGGTGATGTTGGTGATGTTGATGATGGTGATGTTGGTGATGGTGATGATGGTGATGTTGGTGATGTTGATGATGGTGATGTTGGTGATGTTGATGATGGTGATGTTGGTGATGGTGATGATGGTGATGTTGGTGATGATGATGTTGGTGATGTTAGTGATGATGGTGGTGATGTTGATGATGTTGATGTTGGTGATGTTGATGTTGGTGATGTCTCTGACCTCCGCGAAGACGAAGGGAGTGTCGTGCGTCAGGTAGACGAGGCCATTCCGCACCGCTGCCACGGACGCGGGACCACAGCAAAACACGCCTGGCACAACCACAACAACAACAACAACTATTACAACCACAACCACCACCACAACTATTACAACCACAACCACAACAACCACCACAACTATTACAACCACAACCACAACCACCACCACAACTATTACAACCACCGCCATCACAACAACCACCACAACTATTACAACCACCGCCATCACAACAACAACAACCACAACAATTAGAACCACCGTCATCACAACAACAACCACAACAACCACCACCACCACAACTATTACAACCACCGCCATCACAACAACAACAACCACAACAATTAGAACCACCGTCATCACAACCACAACAACAATTACTACCACCGCCATCACAACAACCACCACAACTATTACAACCACCGCCATCACAACAACAACCACAACAATTAGAACCACCGTCATCACAACAACAACCACAACAACCACCACCACCACAACTATTACAACCACCGCCATCACAACAACAACCACAACAATTAGAACCACCGTCATCACAACCACAACAACAATTACTACCACCGCCATCACCACAACAACCACCACAACTATTACAACCACCGCCATCACAACAACAACCACAACAATTAGAACCACCGTCATCACAACAACAACCACAACAACCACCACCACAACTATTACAACCACCGCCATCACAACAACAACAACCACAACAATTAGAACCACCGTCATCACAACAACAACCACAACAACAATTACAACCACCGCCATCACCACAACAACCACCACAACTATTACAACCACCGCCATCACAACAACAACCACAACAATTAGAACCACCGTCATCACAACAACAACCACAACAACAATTACAACCACCGCCATCACCACCACCACCACAACAACTATTACAACCACCGCCATCACAACAACAACCACAACAATTAGAACCACCGTCATCACCACAACATCCACAACAACAATTACAACCACCGCCATCACCACAACAACCACAACAACAATTAGAACCACCACCATTACAACCACAACAACATTTATAACCAAAGCTAGAACCATCACAACAACAACAACCACTGCCACAACGTGTTTTTGTTGTTGGTGGTGTTAATGGTGATGGTGGTTGTTGTCTTGTGGTTGTTGTTGGTGGTGGTGGTGGTAGTGGTGATGTTGGTGGTAGTGGTGGTGTTGATAATAGTGGTGGTTGTTGTTGGTGGTATTGTTGGTGGTGTTGGTTGTTGGTGGTGGTGTTAGTATCGATAATGGTTGTTGGTGGTGGTTTCTGGTGGTGGTTGTTGTTGGTTGTTGTCATGCTGTTGTTGTTGGTGGTGGTGGTAGGTGGTGGTGTTGGTAATGGTGGTGGTTGTTTTTGGTGGTATTGTTAGTGGTGGTGTTGGTTGTGTTGGTGGCGTTAGTATCGATAATGGTTGTTGTTGGTGGTGGTTGTTGTTGGTGGTGGTTGTTGATTGTGGTGGTTCTTGGTGGTTGTTGTTGGTGGTTGTGGTGGTTCTTGATGGTGTTGGTGGTTGTTGTTGTTGGTGGTGGTTTTTGTTGTTGTTGGTGGTTTTTGGTGGCAGTTGTTGTAATTGTTGTTGGTTTTTGGTGGTGGTTGTTGTTGTTGGTGGTGGTTGTTGCTCTTGTTGTTGGTTTTTGGTGGTGGTTGTTGTTGTTGGTGGTGGTTTTTGGTGGTGGATATTCTTGTTGTTGGTTTTTGGTGGTGGTTGTTGTTGTTGGTGGTGGTTTTTGGTGGTGGTTGTTGTTGGTGGTGGTTTTTGGTGGCAGTTGTTGTAATTGTTGTTGGTTTTTGGTGGTGGTTGTTGTTGTTGGTGGTTTTTGGTGGCAGTTGTTGTTGGTGGTTTTTGGTGGTGGTTGTGCTCTTGTTGTTGGTTTTTGGTGGTGGTTGTTGTTGTTGGTGGTGGTTTTTGGTGGTGGTTGTTGTTGTTGGTGGTTTTTGGTGGCGGTTGTTGTACTTGTTGTTGGTTTTTGGTGGTGGTTGTTGTTGTTGGTGGTGGTTTTTGGTGGTGGTTGTTGTTGGTGGTGGTCTTTGGTGGTGGTTGTTGTTGGTGGTGGTTTTTGGTGGTGGTTGTTGTTGGCTGTTGTTGGTTTTTGGTTGTTGTTGGTTGTTGTTGTTGTGGGTTGGTGGTTGTTGTTGGTGGTGGTTTTTGGTTGGTGGTGGTTGTTGTTGGTTGTTGTTGGTGGTTGTTGTTGTTGTGCTCTTGTTGTTGGTTTTTGGTGGTGGTTGTTGTTGTTGGTGGTGGTTTTTGGTGGTGGTTGTTGTTGTTGGTGGTTTTTGGTGGCGGTTGTTGTACTTGTTGTTGGTTTTTGGTGGTGGTTGTTGTTGGTGGTGGTCTTTGGTGGTGGTTGTTGTTGGTGGTGGTTTTTGGTTGTTGTTGGTTGTTGTTGTTGTGGGTTGGTGGTTGTTGTTGTTGGTTGTTGTTGTTTTTGGTGGTGGTATGTGGTTGTTGTTGTTTGTTGGTGGTGGTTGTTGTTGTTTGTTGGTGGTGGTTGTTGTTGTTGTTTGTTGGTGGTGGTTGTTGTTGTTTGTTGGTGGTGGTTGTTGTTGGTTGTTGTTGGTGGTGGTTTTTGGTTGTTGATTGTTGTTGTTGTTGTTGTCCACACCGGAGCTCGTCTCCTGCGGCGTGGCGTCCACGGCCTGCCAGCCACCGAGGCCCTCAGGGAGGTCTGGCCTCGTCATCCAGCAGTCGTTCCACACGTGGAAGTTCCTACGGCAACGACAACAACGACAACAACAACAACAACAATGACATCGCTGTCGGAACGAGGGCACGGGAACGAGGTCGACAGAACGAGGTCAATGGAACGAGGTTAATGGAACGAGGTCACCGGAACAAGGTCACCGGAACGAGGTCAACGGAACGAGGTCAACGGAACGAGGTCAACGGAACGAGGTCAACGGAACGAGGTCAACGGAACGAGGTCAACAGAACGAGGTCAACGGAACGAGGTTAACAGAACGAGGTCAACGGAACGAGGTCAACAGAACGAGGTTAACAGAACGAGGTCAACGGAACGAGGTTAACAGAACGAGGTCACCAGAACGAGGTCAATGGAACGACGTCACCGCAACGAGGTCAACGGAACGAGGTCACCGGAACGAGGTCACCGGAACGAGGTCACCGGAACGAGGTCAACGGAACGAGGTTAACAGAACGAGGTCAACGGAACGAGGTTAACAGAACGAGGTCAACGGAACGAGGTTAACAGAACGAGGTTAACAGAACGAGGTCAACGGAACGAGGTCAACGGAACGAGGTTAACAGAACGAGGTCACCGGAACGAGGTTAACGGAACGAGGTCAACGGAACGAGGTCAATGGAACGAGGTTAACAGAACGAGGTCAACGGAACGAGGTCAACGGAACGAGGTCAACGGAACGAGGTTAACGGAACGAGGTCAACGGAACGAGGTTAACAGAACGAGGTCAACGGAACGAGGTCAACAGAACGAGGTCAACGGAACGAGGTTAACAGAACGAGGTCAACGGAACGAGGTCAACGGAACGAGGTTAACAGAACGAGGTCAACGGAACGAGGTTAACAGAACGAGGTCAACGGAACGAGGTCAACGGAACGAGGTCAACAGAACGAGGTCAACGGAACGAGGTTAACAGAACGAGGTCAACGGAACGAGGTCAACAGAACGAGGTCAACGGAACGAGGTTAACAGAACGAGGTCAACGGAACGAGGTTAACGGAACGAGGTCAACAGAACGAGGTCAACAGAACGAGGTCAACAGAACGAGGTCAACAGAACGAGGTCAACAGAACGAGGTTAACAGAACGAGGTCAACGGAACGAGGTCAACGGAACGAGGTTAACAGAACGAGGTCAACGGAACGAGGTCAACGGAACGAGGTCAACAGAACGAGGTCAACAGAACGAGGTCAACAGAACGAGGTTAACAGAACGAGGTCAACGGAACGAGGTCAACGGAACGAGGTTAACAGAACGAGGTCAACGGAACGAGGTCAACGGAACGAGGTTAACAGAACGAGGTCAACGGAACGAGGTCAACGGAACGAGGTTAACAGAACGAGGTCAACGGAACGAGGTTAACAGAACGAGGTCAACGGAACGAGGTCAACAGAACGAGGTCAACGGAACGAGGTTAACAGAACGAGGTCAACGGAACGAGGTTAACAGAACGAGGTCAACAGAACGAGGTCAACGGAACGAGGTTAACAGAACGAGGTCAACGGAACGAGGTCAACGGAACGAGGTCAACAGAACGAGGTCAACGGAACGAGGTTAACAGAACGAGGTCAACGGAACGAGGTCAACAGAACGAGGTCAACGGAACGAGGTTAACAGAACGAGGTCAACGGAACGAGGTTAACAGAACGAGGTCAACAGAACGAGGTCAACGGAACGAGGTCAACGGAACGAGGTTAACAGAACGAGGTCAACGGAACGAGGTCAACGGAACGAGGTCAACAGAACGAGGTCAACGGAACGAGGTTAACAGAACGAGGTCAACGGAACGAGGTCAACAGAACGAGGTCAACGGAACGAGGTTAACAGAACGAGGTCAACGGAACGAGGTTAACAGAACGAGGTCAACAGAACGAGGTCAACGGAACGAGGTTAACAGAACGAGGTCAACGGAACGAGGTTAACAGAACGAGGTCAACGGAACGAAGTCAACGGAACGAGGTCAACGGAACGAGGTCAACGGAACGAGGTTAACGGAACGAGGTCAACGGAACGAGGTTAACAGAACGAGGTCAACGGAACGAGGTCAACAGAACGAGGTCAACGGAACGAGGTTAACAGAACGAGGTCAACGGAACGAGGTCAACGGAACGAGGTTAACAGAACGAGGTCAACGGAACGAGGTTAACAGAACGAGGTCAACTGAACGAAGTCAACGGAACGAGGTCAACGGAACGAGGTCAACAGAACGAGGTCAACGGAACGAGGTCAACGGAACGAGGTCAACAGAACGAGGTCAACGGAACGAGGTTAACAGAACGAGGTCAACGGAACGAGGTCAACGGAACGAGGTTAACAGAACGAGGTCAACGGAACGAGGTCACCGGAACGAGGTTAACAGAACGAGGTCAACGGAACGAGGTCAACGGAACGAGGTTAACAGAACGAGGTTAACAGAACGAGGTCAACGGAACGAGGTCAACGGAACGAGGTTAACAGAACGAGGTCAACGGAACGAGGTCAACAGAACGAGGTCAACGGAACGAGGTCAACAGAACGAGGTCAACAGAACGAGGTCAACAGAACGAGGTTAACAGAACGAGGTCAACGGAACGAGGTCAACGGAACGAGGTTAACAGAACGAGGTCAACGGAACGAGGTCAACAGAACGAGGTCAACGGAACGAGGTCACCGGAACGAGGTTAACAGAACGAGGTCAACGGAACGAGGTCAACGGAACGAGGTCAACGGAACGAGGTCAACAGAACGAGGTCAACAGAACGAGGTCAACAGAACGAGGTTAACAGAACGAGGTTAACAGAACGAGGTCAACGGAACGAGGTCAACGGAACGAGGTTAACAGAACGAGGTCAACGGAACGAGGTCACCGGAACGAGGTTAACAGAACGAGGTCAACGGAACGAGGTCAACGGAACGAGGTTAACAGAACGAGGTCAACGGAACGAGGTTAACAGAACGAGGTCACCAGAACGAGGTCAACGGAACGAGGTCAACGGAACGAGGTCAACGCCTCCTCCCCCCCCTCCTCTCCCCCTCCCCCCTCCACCGCCCCCTCCCCCCTTCTCCCCCCCTCCCCCACCCCCCCTCCTCCGCCCCCACCCCCCTCCTCCCCACACTCCTACCCCCCTCCTACCCCTTCCTCCCCCCCTCCCCCCTCTTCTGCACCTCCCCACCCCCCTCCTCCCCCCCCACCCCCCTCCTCCCCCCCACCCCCCTCCTCCCCCCCACCCCCCTCCTCCCCCCCACCCCCCTCCTCCCCCCCACCCCCCTCCTCCCCCCCACCCCCACCCCCCTCCCCCCCACCCCCCTCCTCCTCCCCAACTCCCCCCCCTCCCCCCCCACCCCCCTCCTCCCCCCCCTCCCCCTACCCCCCCCCCCTCCTCCCCCCCTCCTCTCCCCCACCCCCCTCCTCCTCGCCAACTCCCCCCCCCCACCCCCCCACCCCCACCCCCACCCCCCTCCCCCCCCCACCAGACAGAGTCGGTGTTGAGCTCTGCGATTGGCTGCAGGTCGTCGTCGAGGTAGACGTCAGTGGTGAGGCTGGTGTCGGTGTCGTGGGCAGACGCAAAGTTGGTGACGCTGCGCGTGGGGATGCCCACACTCCGCAGGACTGAGAGCCACAACAACAACCACAACAACAACAACAACCACGACAACAACAACAACAAAGTTGGTGACGCTGCGCGTGGGGATGCCCACACTCCGCAGGACTGAGAGCCACAACAACAACCACAACAACAACAACAACCACGACAACAACAACAACAAAGTTGGTGACGCTGCGCGTGGGGATGCCCACACTCCGCAGGACTGAGAGCCACAACAACAACCACAACAACCACAACAACCACGACAACAACAACAACAAAGTTGGTGACGCTGCGCGTGGGGATGCCCAAACTCCGCAGGACTGAGAGCCACAACAACAACCACAACAACAACAACAACCACGACAACAACAACAACAAAGTTGGTGACGCTGCGCGTGGGGATGCCCACACTCCGCAGGACTGAGAGCCACAACAACAACCACAACAACAACAACAACCACGACAACAACAACAACAAAGTTGGTGACGCTGCGCGTGGGGATGCCCACACTCCGCAGGACTGAGAGCCACAACAACAACCACAACAACCACAACAACCACGACAACAACAACAACAAAGTTGGTGACGCTGCGCGTGGGGATGCCCAAACTCCGCAGGACTGAGAGCCACAACAACAACAACAACAACCACAACAACAACAACAACAACAAAGTTGGTGACGCTGCGCGTGGGGATGCCCACACTCCGCAGGACTGAGAGCCACAACAACAACCACAACAACAACAACAACAACAACAACCACAACAACACTGTCACACTCACACACACAACAACAACAAAGTTGGTGACGCTGCGCGTGGGGATGCCCACACTCCGCAGGACTGAGAGCCACAACAACAACAACCACAACAACAACAACCACGACAACAACAACAACAACACTGTCACACTCACACACAAACACACACACTGTCACACACACACACAACAACAACAAAGTTGGTGACGCTGCGCGTGGGGATGCCCACACTCCGCAGGACTGAGAGCCACAACAACAACCACAACAACCACAACAACCACGACAACAACAACAACAAAGTTGGTGACGCTGCGCGTGGGGATGCCCAAACTCCGCAGGACTGAGAGCCACAACAACAACAACAACAACCACAACAACAACAACAACAACAAAGTTGGTGACGCTGCGCGTGGGGATGCCCACACTCCGCAGGACTGAGAGCCACAACAACAACCACAACAACAACAACAACAACAACAACCACAACAACACTGTCACACTCACACACACAACAACAACAAAGTTGGTGACGCTGCGCGTGGGGATGCCCACACTCCGCAGGACTGAGAGCCACAACAACAACAACCACAACAACAACAACCACGACAACAACAACAACAACACTGTCACACTCACACACAAACACACACACTGTCACACACACACACAACAACAACAAAGTTGGTGACGCTGCGCGTGGGGATGCCCACACTCCGCAGGACTGAGAGCCACAACAACAACAACCACAACAACAACAACAACAACACTGTCACACTCACACACACAACAACAACAAAGTTGGTGACGCTGCGCGTGGGGATGCCCACACTCCGCAGGACTGAGAGCCACAACAACAACAACCACAACAACAACAACAACAACACTGTCACACTCACACACACAACAACAACAAAGTTGGTGACGCTGCGCGTGGGGATGCCCACACTCCGCAGGACTGAGAGCCACAACAACAACAACCACAACAACCACAACAACAACAACAACAACAAAGTTGGTGACGCTGCGCGTGGGGATGCCCACACTCCGCAGGACTGAGAGCCACAACAACAACAACCACAACAACCACAACAACAACAACAACAACAACAAAGTTGGTGACGCTGCGCGTGGGGATGCCCACACTCCGCAGGACTGAGAGCCACAACAACAACAACCACAACAACCACAACAACAACAACGACAACAACAAAGTTGGTGACGCTGCGCGTGGGGATGCCCACACTCCGCAGGACTGAGAGCCACAACAACAACCACCACAACAACAACAACACTGTCACACTCACACACACAACAACAACAAAGTTGGTGACGCTGCGCGTGGGGATGCCCACACTCCGCAGGACTGAGAGCCACAACAACAACAACCACAACAACCACAACAACAACAACAACAACACTGTCACACTCACACACTTACACACTCTTACACACACTTACACACACACACAACAACAAAGTTGGTGACGCTGCGCGTGGGGATGCCCACACTCCGCAGGACTGAGAGCCACAACAACAACAACACTGTCACACTCACACACACACACAACAACAACAACACACTGTCACACTCACACACTTACACACACTTACACACACACACTGTCACACACACACACACAACAACAAAGTTGGTGACGCTGCGCGTGGGGATGCCCAAACTCCGCAGGACTGAGAGCCACAACAACAACAACACACTGTCACACTCACACACTTACACACACTTACACACACACACTGTCACACACACACACACAACAACAAAGTTGGTGACGCTGCGCGTGGGGATGCCCACACTCCGCAGGACTGAGAGCCACAACAACAACAACCACAACAACAACAACCACGACAACAACACTGTCACACTCACACACACACACACTTACACACACAACAACCACGACAACAACACACTGTCACACTCACACACTCACACACACACACTTACACACACTCACACACACACACTTACACACACTCACACACACACACTTACACACACTTACACACACTTACACACACAACAACAACAAAGTTGGTGACGCTGCGCGTGGGGATGCCCAAACTCCGCAGGACTGAGAGCCACAACAACAACAACCACAACAACAACAACAACAACCACAACAACACTGTCACACACACACTCTTACACACACTTACACACACACACACAACAACAAAGTTGGTGACGCTGCGCGTGGGGATGCCCAAACTCCGCAGGACTGAGAGCCACAACAACAACCACAACAACAACAACACACTTACACACACACACTGTCACACAAACACACACACACACAACAACAACAAAGTTGGTGACGCTGCGCGTGGGGATGCCCAAACTCCGCAGGACTGAGAGCCACAACAACCACCACAACAACAACAACAACAACACTGTCACACTCACACACTTACACACACTTACACACACTTACACACACACAACAACAAAGTTGGTGACGCTGCGCGTGGGGATGCCCACACTCCGCAGGACTGAGAGCCACAACAACCACAACCACAACAACAACAACACTGTCACACTTACACACACAACAACAACAACAAAGTTGGTGACGCTGCGCGTGGGGATGCCCACACTCCGCAGGACTGAGAGCCACAACAACCACAACCACAACAACAACAACACTGTCACACTTACACACACACAACAACAAAGTTGGTGACGCTGCGCGTGGGGATGCCCACACTCCGCAGGACTGAGAGCCACAACAACAACAACCACAACAACAACAACCACGACAACAACAACACACTGTCACACTCACACACTGTCACACACACTTACACACACTTACACACACACAACAACAAAGTTGGTGACGCTGCGCGTGGGGATGCCCACACTCCGCAGGACTGAGAGCCACAACAACAACAACCACAACAAGCCACGTGGCGTCAACACACACACTTACTCACACACACACACTTACACACACACACAAACACACACACACACAACAACAACAAAGTTGGTGACGCTGCGCGTGGGGATGCCCACACTCCGCAGGACTGAGAGCCACAACAACAACAACCACAACAACCACAACAACAACAACAACAACACTGTCACACTCACACACTTACACACTCTTACACACACTTACACACACACACAACAACAAAGTTGGTGACGCTGCGCGTGGGGATGCCCACACTCCGCAGGACTGAGAGCCACAACAACAACAACACTGTCACACTCACACACACACACAACAACAACAACACACTGTCACACTCACACACTTACACACACTTACACACACACACTGTCACACACACACACACAACAACAAAGTTGGTGACGCTGCGCGTGGGGATGCCCAAACTCCGCAGGACTGAGAGCCACAACAACAACAACACACTGTCACACTCACACACTTACACACACTTACACACACACACTGTCACACACACACACACAACAACAAAGTTGGTGACGCTGCGCGTGGGGATGCCCACACTCCGCAGGACTGAGAGCCACAACAACAACAACCACAACAACAACAACCACGACAACAACACTGTCACACTCACACACACACACACTTACACACACAACAACCACGACAACAACACACTGTCACACTCACACACTCACACACACACACTTACACACACTCACACACACACACTTACACACACTCACACACACACACTTACACACACTTACACACACTTACACACACACAACAACAAAGTTGGTGACGCTGCGCGTGGGGATGCCCACACTCCGCAGGACTGAGAGCCACAACAACAACAACAACCACGACAACAACAACAACAACAATAACAACAACACTGTCACACACACACACAACAACAACAAAGTTGGTGACGCTGCGCGTGGGGATGCCCACACTCCGCAGGACTGAGAGCCACAACAACAACAACCACAACAACAACAACCACAACAACAACACTGTCACACACACACACACACAACAACCACGACAACAACACACTGTCACACTCACACACTCACACACTGTCACACTCACACACACAACAAAGTTGGTGACGCTGCGCGTGGGGATGCCCACACTCCGCAGGACTGAGAGCCACAACAACAACCACGACAACAACCACAACAACACTGTCACACTCACACACTTACACACACTTACACACACTTACACACACACAACAACAAAGTTGGTGACGCTGCGCGTGGGGATGCCCACACTCCGCAGGACTGAGAGCCACAACAACAACCACGACAACAAGCCACGTGGCGTCAACACACACACTTACTCACACACACACACTTACACACACACACTGTCACACTCACACACTGTCACACACACACACAACAACAACAAAGTTGGTGACGCTGCGCGTGGGGATGCCCACACTCCGCAGGACTGAGAGCCACAACAACAACAACCACAACAACAACAACCACGACAACAACAACAATAACAACACACTTACTCACACACACACTCACACACTGTCACACACACACACAACAACAACAAAGTTGGTGACGCTGCGCGTGGGGATGCCCACACTCCGCAGGACTGAGAGCCACAACAACAACAACCACAACAAGCCACGTGGCGTCAACACACACACTTACACACACTTACACACACACAACAACAAAGTTGGTGACGCTGCGCGTGGGGATGCCCACACTCCGCAGGACTGAGAGCCACAACAACAACCACGACAACAACCACAACAACAACAACAACAACACTGTCACACTCACACACTTACACACACTTACACACACAACAACAACAAACACACACTTACACACACACAACAACAAAGTTGGTGACGCTGCGCGTGGGGATGCCCACACTCCGCAGGACTGAGAGCCACAACAACAACAACCACAACAACAACAACAACACTGTCACACTCACACACTTACACACACTTACACACACTTACACACACAACAACAACAAAGTTGGTGACGCTGCGCGTGGGGATGCCCACACTCCGCAGGACTGAGAGCCACAACAACAACAACGACAACAACAACCACAACAACAACAACACTGTCACACTCACACACTTACACACACTTACACACACACAACAACAAAGTTGGTGACGCTGCGCGTGGGGATGCCCACACTCCGCAGGACTGAGAGCCACAACAACAACAACCACAACAAGCCACGTGGCGTCAACACACTGTCACACTCACACACACACACTTACACACACACACAAACACACACACACACAACAACAACACACTGTCACACTCACACACACACACACAAACACACACACACACACAACAACAACAACCACAACAAGCCACGTGGCGTCAACACACACACTTACTCACACACACACACTTACACACTGTCACACAAACACACAAACACACACAACAACAACAACAACAACCACGACAACAACAACACACTGTCACACTCTTACACACACTTACACACACTTACACACACACACAACCACAACAACCACGACAACACACTGTCACACTCACACACTTACACACACACACAACAACAACCACGACAACAACAACACACTGTCACACTCACACACTTACACAACAACAACAACACTGTCACACTCACACACTGTCACACACACACAACAACAACAACACACTGTCACACTCACACACTTACACACACACTCACACACAACAACAACCACGACAACACACTGTCACACTCACACACACACACAACAACAACAACACTGTCACACTCACACACTGTCACACACACACAACAACAACCACAACAACCACAACAACACACTTACACACACACACTCTTACACATACTCACTTACACACACTTACACACACACAACAACAACAACAACCACGACAACAACAACCACGACAACAACAACAACACACTGTCACACTCACACACTGTCACACTCACACACTGTCACACACACACACAACAACAACAACAACCACAACAACCACGACAACCACGACAACAACCACGACAACAACAACACACTGTCACACTCACACACTGTCACACACACACACAACAACAACAACAACAACAACAACCACAACAACCACGACAACCACGACAACAACCACGACAACAACAACACACTGTCACACTCACACACTGTCACACACACACACAACAACAACAACAACCACAACAACCACGACAACCACGACAACAACCACGACAACAACAACACACTGTCACACTCACACACTGTCACACACACACAACAACAACAACAACCACAACAACCACGACAACCACGACAACAACCACGACAACAACAACACACTGTCACACTCACACACTGTCACACACACACACACACAACAACAACCACGACAACACACTGTCACACTCACACACACACAACAACAACAACCACAACCACGACAACAACAACACACTGTCACACTCACACACACACACTGTCACACTCACACACACACAACAACAACCACGACAACACACTGTCACACTCACACACACACAACAACAACAAGCCACGTGGCGTCAACACACTGTCACACTCACACACACACACAAACACACACACAACAACAACAACACACTGTCACACTCACACACTTACACACACACACAACAACAACAACAACCACAACCACGACAACAACAACACACTGTCACACTCACACACTTACACACACACACTTACACACAAACACAAACACACACAACAACAACAACCACAACACACTGTCACACTCACACACTGTCACACAAACACACAAACACACACAACAACAACAACAACAACAACCACGACAACAACAACACACTGTCACACTCACACACTTACACACACTCACTTACACACACACACTGTCACACTCACACACACACACAAACACAAACACACACACAAACACACACAACAACAACAACCACGACAACCACAACACACTGTCACACTCACACACTTACACACACACACAACAACAACAACAACACTGTCACACTCAAACACACACAACAACAACAACCACGACAACAACAACAACAACAACACTGTCACACTCACACACTTACACACACACACAACAACAACACACTGTCACACTCAAACACACACAACAACAACAACCACGACAACAACAACAACACTGTCACACTCACACACTTACACACACACACAAACACACACACACAACAACAACACACTGTCACACTCACACACACACACAAACACACACACACTGTCACACTCACACACACACAACAACAACCACAACAACACACTGTCACACTCACACACTTACACACACACACACACAACAACAACCACGACAACACACTGTCACACTCACACACACACAACAACAACAAGCCACGTGGCGTCAACACACTGTCACACTCACACACACACACAAACACACACACAACAACAACAACACACTGTCACACTCACACACTTACACACACACACAACAACAACAACCACAACCACGACAACAACAACACACTGTCACACTCACACACTTACACACACACACTTACACACAAACACAAACACACACAACAACAACAACCACAACACACTGTCACACTCACACACTGTCACACAAACACACAAACACACACAACAACAACAACAACCACGACAACAACAACACACTGTCACACTCACACACTTACACACACTCACTTACACACACACACTGTCACACTCACACACAAACACAAACACACACACAAACACACACAACAACAACAACCACGACAACCACAACACACTGTCACACTCACACACTTACACACACACACACAACAACAACAACAACACTGTCACACTCAAACACACACAACAACAACAACCACGACAACAACAACAACAACACTGTCACACTCACACACTTACACACACACACAACAACAACACACTGTCACACTCAAACACACACAACAACAACAACCACGACAACAACAACAACACTGTCACACTCACACACTTACACACACACACAAACACACACACACACAACAACAACACACTGTCACACTCACACACACACACAAACACACACACTGTCACACTCACACACACACAACAACAACCACAACAACACACTGTCACACTCACACACTTACACACACACACACAACAACAACAACAACCACGACAACAACAACACTGTCACACTCACACACACACAACAACAACAACAACCACGACAACAACACACTGTCACACTCACACACTTACACACACACACACAACAACCACGACAACAACAACACTGTCACACTCACACACACACAACAACAACAACCACGACAACAACACACTGTCACACTCACACACTTACACACACTCACTTACACTTACACACTCACTTACACACAACAACCACGACAACCACAACAACACTGTCACACTCACACACTCACACACACACAACAACAACAACCACGACAACACACTGTCACACTCACACACTTACACACACACACACAACAACAACAACCACGACAACAACAACACTGTCACACTCACACACTTACACACACTTACACACACAACAACAACCACAACCACGACAACAACAACACTGTCACACTCACACACTTACACACACACACAAACACACACAACAACAACCACGACAACCACAACAACACACTGTCACACTCACACACTTACACACAAACACACACACACACACAAACACACACAACAACAACAACACACTGTCACACTCACACACTTACACACAAACACAAACACACAAACAAACACACACAACAACCACAACAACACACTGTCACACTCACACACACACAAACACACACACAAACACACACAACAACGACAACCACGACAACCACAACAACACACTGTCACACTCACACACTTACACACAAACACACACACAAACACACACAACAACGACAACCACGACAACCACAACAACACACTGTCACACTCACACACTTACACACAAACACAAACACACACACAAACACACACAACAACAACAACCACGACAACCACAACAACACACTGTCACACTCACACACTTACACACAAACACACACACACACACAAACACACACAACAACAACAACCACGACAACCACAACAACACACTGTCACACTTACACACAAACACACACACAAACACACACAACAACGACAACCACGACAACCACAACAACACACTGTCACACTCACACACTTACACACAAACACAAACACACACACAAACACACACAACAACAACAACCACGACAACAACAACACACTGTCACACTCACACACTTACACTCACACACTTACACACACTTACACTTACACACACACAGTTACACACACACACTTACACTTACACATTCACACACACTCACTTACACACACTCACACACACACACAAACACACACACAAACACACACAACAACAACAACAACAACAACCACAACAACACACTGTCACACTCACACACTTACACACACTTACACACACACACTGTCACACTCACACACACACGCAAACACACACACACAACAACAACAACGACAACAACAACAACACACTGTCACACTCACACACACACTCACTTACACACACTTACACACACACTTACACACACACAGTTACACACTTACACTTACACATTCACACACAGTTACACACACACACTTACACTTACACATTCACACACACTCACTTACACACACTTACACACAAACACACACACAAACACACACACAAACACACACACAAACAACAACAACAACCACGACAACAACAACACTGTCACACTCACACACTTACACACACTTACACACACAACAACAACAACAACAACCACGACAACAACAACACTGTCACACTCACACACTTACACACACACAAACACACAAACACACACAACAACAACGACAACAACAACAACACACTGTCACACTCACACACTTACACACACTTACACTTACACACACACACTTACACACACTGTCACACTCACACGCTTACACTCACACACTTACACACACTTACACAACAACAACAACCACAACAACAACAACCACAACAACACACTGTCACACTCACACACTTACACACACTTACACACACACTTACACACACACACTGTCACACTCACACACACACACACACAAACACACACACAAACACACACAACAACAACAACAACACACTGTCACACACACACACAAACACACACACAAACACACACAACAACAACAACGACAACACAAAGCCGTGTGGCGTCAACACACTTACACACTCACACTTACACACACACACTTACACACACACTCACACACACTTACACACACACTTACACACAAACACACACACAAACACACACACAAACACACACACAAACACACACAACAACAACACAAAGCCGTGTGGCGTCAACACACTGTCACACACACACACACACAGACACAAACACACACACAAACACACACAACAACAACAACAACACAAAGCCGTGTGGCGTCAACACACTTACACACACACTTACACACACACACACTTACACTTACACACACACACACTTACACTTACACACACACTTACACACACACTCACACACACTTACACACACACACTTACAGACACACTTGCACACACACTTACACACACTCACACACACTCACTTACACACACACTTACACACACACTCACTTACACACACTTACACACACACAACAACAACGACAACACAAAGCCGTGTGGCGTCAACACACTGTCACACTCACACTTACACACTCACTTACACACACTCACACACTCACTTACACACACACACTCACACACACTTACACACACACTTACACACACTTACACACACACTTACACACACACACACACAACAACAACAAAGACACCGCCACCAAGCCGCGTGGCGTCAACACACTTACACACACTTACACACACAAACAAACTTACACACACACTTACACACACACTTACACACTCACTTACACACTCACACACTCACTTACACTCACTTACACACTCACACACACACTTACACACACTTACAAACACACACACTTACACACACATGCTCACACTTACACACACACAAGAACAACAACAACCGCCATTAGCCACTAAGTGGCGGTGACGTCACCACGACGCTTGTGCCAGGCTTTGTGCACCTTGAGGCCACGTGAAGTGTCGAACGCCCGCTGGCAGGAGGTCACGGGGCAGACCCAGGTGCCACGGGTCGACTGACTGAGATGACTGGCTGATGCACCACCTGTGCCCCCTACTGTGCCAACCTGCTGTGCTTTAGCCACCCGGCGCTCCGCTCGTTGTTGTGAGCGTCGCTCCTCCGCCCTCCGTTGTTGTTGGAGGGCGACTGCCTCCAACTGCCCAGTAGCGTCCTTCACGAGCCTCCTCCACAGAGGCCGATCTTGACACCGCTGGTACCAGTCATCGGCTAGTCCACTCAGCTCCACGTCCTCCTGTACCACATCACTCCATCTCTTCTCTAGCCCGTGCCGCGCCCGCTTAGCCCCCTCGATCCGGCCGAACAAAAGCTGTTTCGGCATGCGGTGGCTGGGCATGCGGGCTACATGACCCAGTCAACGCAGGATGGATCGTAGGCAGGCCAGCCTAAATGTTTCCAACTGGCGAAGATGTTCCATTAGGGGGGTCCACGTTTCGCAAGCGTAGAGAAGGGAGGGAATGACCGTGGCCGAGAAGACCTGAAGCTTAGTGCGGAGCGACAGACCAGGTAGCTTCCACACAGCGTTACGCAACCGATGAAAAGATATTGTCGCTCGACTGATTCGGAGTGAGACCTCTGCTGTTAAACTGGAGCCGGTCATAAGCACACTGCCCAGGTATGGGAAACTCTCCACTCTCTCCACAACTGCCCCATCACCAATTAATAGTTGTTGGGGTGGAGTGCCCGATGGTACAAAATACCCAGGCAGGTGCTTAGTTTTGGTGGGGCTGATGGTAAGGCCCCACCTCTTGGTGGCACGCTCCAGTCTCAGCAGCAGCGTCTCCAACTCCTCCTCTGAGTGAGCAGCAATTACCAGATCATCGGCATACATAACGTGGTTGAGCAAGAGAGAGCCGTCCCTTGACCGCACCCGGGCATCGATCGTCCTCCCATTGTGTCTGTACCAGATGGAGATTCCTCCGGTACAGCTATTGAAGGCTTCCTGAACTACGTGGTCAAAATAGATGTTAAATAATGTGGGAGCCAGAGGGAATGGCTCCGACTCCCGGCCACGTAGTTTTACCCGGGCCCGCTCACCATCATGAAGGTCCTTAATGATCGTGAGCAGAGGATCAGGGACTCCGAAAGCACAAAGAACAACCCAGAGCCCAGGGCCTACTGATGGTATCATAGGCCTTGACCAGGTCAATAAAGCAGAGATGTAGGTCTTGTTGGAATTCCCTACACCTCTGCTGTAGCAAACGGACAGAAAATATGGCATCTGTGCAGGACCGCCATTTCCTGAAACCACATTGGGGCTCCGCAAGCCTCTCCTCAGCGTGCCTGGCAAGGCGATGTTGAATAATCCTTGCCAGGACCTTTCCCGGCACACTGAGGAGTGAGATGCCCCTGTAGTTGTTACAGTCTGTGCGGTCCCCCTTCTTGAAGAGGGGGACCACCAGGGCATCCTTCCAATCCTGCGGAACCCGTCCAGTGGTCCAGACTGTTGTTATGATGTCATGTAGGGCAGTCTGTGCACAAACGCCACCCTCCCTCAGCATTTCGCTTGGGAGATCATCTCTGCCCGGTGCCACATAATTACACACTCACATACACGCGCTTACACACATTCACATACACACACACTCACATACACACACACTCACATACTCACATACACACACTCACATACACACACTCACATACACACACTCACATACAAAGACAAAGATCCCCCGTGTAGCCTTAACAGACTGTAGGGGCAAGTGCTGTTAGCGAGCACAAAGACAAAGACAAAGATCCCCCGTGTAGCCTTAACAGACTGTAGGGGCAAGTGCCTTTAGCAAGCACCTATGAACGCTGCTAACGGCACACGAGGGGGTGGGTGGCCAGCACCACGCCCGGCCGCCTTTGTCTCCCTAGTGGCGATGTTTACTACACACCGCACCAGGTATTCATTTGAGGCCGAGTCGACCTAGGGGACGCCAAGAACCGGTTCAGAAAATCGTCACTGGTGGTGTTGGCCGTGAGCGGGAATCGAACCCGTGTCGCCGGGTTCGTAGCGCAGCGTGGCGCTAACCGCTGCACCACCGCTCCCCACTTGCCCCTCCAGCCCCCACGCACGCGCGAGGCTACCTGGGGCGGCTTTGTCTCAGCGGTGGCCCCCACCCCTGCCCCGACTGACCGCTGGTGGTGACCCCGCTGAAGACCCAGCACGTGCCCCAGCACTGGCCCCAGCACTTGCCCCAGCACTTGCCCCAGCACTGGCCCCAGCACGTGCCCCCTAGACTGACCGCTGGTGGTGACCCCGCTGAAGACCCAGCACGTGCCCCAGCACTTGCCCCAGCACGTGCCCCCTAGACTGACCGCTGGTGGTGACCCCGCTGAAGACCCAGCACGTGCCCCAGCACTTGCCCCAGCACTTGCCCCAGACTGACCGCTCGTGGTGACCCCGCTAAAGACCCAGCACGTGCCCCAGCACTTGCCCCAGCACGTGCCCCAGCCCCCCAGACTGACCGCTGGTGGTGACCCCGCTGAAGACCCAGCACGTGCCCCAGCACTTGCCCCAGCACTTGCCCCAGCACTTGCCCCAGACTGACCGCTCGTGGTGACCCCGCTAAAGACCCAGCACTTGCCCCAGCACTTGCCCCAGCCCCAGACTGACCGCTGGTGGTGACCCCGCTGAAGACCCAGCACTTGCCCCAGCACTTGCCCCAGCACGTGCCCCTGCCCTGACTGACCGGTGGTGGTGACCCCGCTAAAGACCCAGCACGTGCCCCAGCACTTGCCCCAGCACTTGCCCCAGCACTTGCCCCAGCACTTGCCCCAGCACTTGCCCCAGCACGTGCCCCCCTAGACTGACCGGTGGTGGTGACCCCGCTGAAGACCCAGCACTTGCCCCAGCACGTGCCCCTGCCCTGACTGACCCGTGGTGGTGACCCCGCTGAAGACCCAGCACGTGCCCCCTGCCCCCCAGACTGACCGGTGGTGGTGACCCCGCTAAAGACCCAGCACGTGCCCCAGCACGTGCCCCAGCACTTGCCCCAGCACGTGCCCCCTAGACTGACCGCTCGTGGTGACCCCGCTGAAGACCAAGCACGTGCCCCTGCCCAGACTGACCCGTGGTGGTGACCCCGCTGAAGACCCAGCACGTGCCCCCCAGCACTTGCCCCAGCACGTGCCCCTGCCCCCCTGACTGACCCGTGGTGGTGACCCCGCTGAAGACCCAGCACTGCCCCCTAGACTGACCGGTGGTGGTGACCTCGCTGAAGACCCAGCACGTGCCCCAGCACTTGCCCCAGCACGTGCCCCCCAGACTGACCCGTGGTGGTGACCCCGCTGAAGACCCAGCACTTGCCCCCTGCCCCCTAGACTGACCCGTGGTGGTGACCCCACTGAAGACCCAGCACTTGCCCCAGCACTTGCCCCAGCACGTGCCCCCCTGACTGACCCGTGGTGGTGACCCCGCTGAAGACCCAGCACGTGCCCCAGCACTTGCCCCAGCACCTGCCCCCTGCCCCCCAGACTGACCCGTGGTGGTGACCCCGCTGAAGACCCAGCACTTGCCCCCTAGACTGACCGGTGGTGGTGACCCCGCTGAAGACCCAGCACGTGCCCCAGCACGTGCCCCAGCACTTGCCCCCCAGACTGACCGCTGGTGGTGACCCCGCTGAAGACCCAGCACGTGCCCCAGCACTTGCCCCAGCACGTGCCCCAGCACTTGCCCCCTAGACTGACCCGTGGTGGTGACCCCGCTAAAGACCCAGCACCTGCCCCAGCACTTGCCCCAGCACTTGCCCCAGCACTTGCCCCCCCCTAGACTGACCGGTGGTGGTGACCCCGCTGAAGACCCAGCACTTGCCCCAGCACTTGCCCCAGCACGTGCCCCCTAGACTGACCCGTGGTGGTGACCCCGCTGAAGACCCAGCACTGCCCGTAGCGAACGGGCGATCGCGAGCGTGCAAACTGCTGCAGGATGTCCACGCTGAAGACCCAGCACGTGCCCCAGCACTTGCCCCAGCACGTGCCCCCCTGACTGACCCGTGGTGGTGACCCCGCTGAAGACCCAGCACTGCCCGTAGCGAACGGGCGATCGCGAGCGTGCAAACTGCTGCAGGATGTCCACGCTGAAGACCCAGCACGTGCCCCAGCACTTGCCCCAGCACGTGCCCCCCAGACTGACCCGTGGTGGTGACCCCGCTGAAGACCCAGCACTGCCCGTAGCGAACGGGCGATCGCGAGCGTGCAAACTGCTGCAGGATGTCCACGCTGAAGACCCAGCACGTGCCCCAGCACTTGCCCCAGCACGTGCCCCCTGCCCCCCTAGACTGACCCGTGGTGGTGACCCCGCTGAAGACCCAGCACTGCCCGTAGCAAACGGGCGATCGCGAGCGTGCAAACTGCTGCAGGATGTCCACGCTGAAGACCCAGCACGTGCCCCAGCACTTGCCCCAGCACTTGCCCCCCTAGACTGACCCGTGGTGGTGACCCCGCTGAAGACCCAGCACTGCCCGTAGCGAACGGGCGATCGCGAGCGTGCAAACTGCTGCAGGATGTCCACGCTGAAGACCCAGCACGTGCCCCAGCACTTGCCCCAGCACTTGCCCCAGCACGTGCCCCCCTAGACTGACCCGTGGTGGTGACCCCGCTGAAGACCCAGCACTGCCCGTAGCGAACGGGCGATCGCGAGCGTGCAAACTGCTGCAGGATGTCCACGCTGAAGACCCAGCACGTGCCCCAGCACTTGCCCCAGCACGTGCCCCCCTAGACTGACCCGTGGTGGTGACCCCGCTGAAGACCCAGCACTGCCCGTAGCGAACGGGCGATCGCGAGCGTGCAAACTGCTGCAGGATGTCCACGCTGAAGACCCAGCACGTGCCCCAGCACTTGCCCCAGCACGTGCCCCAGCACTTGCCCCCCTAGACTGACCCGTGGTGGTGACCCCGCTGAAGACCCAGCACTGCCCGTAGCGAACGGGCGATCGCGAGCGTGCAAACTGCTGCAGGATGTCCACGCTGAAGACCCAGCACGTGCCCCAGCACTTGCCCCAGCACGTGCCCCAGCACTTGCCCCCCTAGACTGACCCGTGGTGGTGACCCCGCTGAAGACCCAGCACTGCCCGTAGCGAACGGGCGATCGCGAGCGTGCAAACTGCTGCAGGATGTCCACGCTGAAGACCCAGCACGTGCCCCAGCACTTGCCCCAGCACGTGCCCCAGCACTTGCCCCCCTAGACTGACCCGTGGTGGTGACCCCGCTGAAGACCCAGCACTGCCCGTAGCGAACGGGCGATCGCGAGCGTGCAAACTGCTGCAGGATGTCCACGCTGAAGACCCAGCACGTGCCCCAGCACTTGCCCCAGCACGTGCCCCAGCACTTGCCCCCCTAGACTGACCCGTGGTGGTGACCCCGCTGAAGACCCAGCACTGCCCGTAGCGAACGGGCGATCGCGAGCGTGCAAACTGCTGCAGGATGTCCACGCTGAAGACCCAGCACTTGCCCCAGCACTTGCCCCAGCACTTGCCCCCCCTAGACTGACCCGTGGTGGTGACCCCGCTGAAGACCCAGCACTGCCCGTAGCGAACGGGCGATCGCGAGCGTGCAAACTGCTGCAGGATGTCCACGCTGCCGTTCCACGCCGTAGGAGCGGTGCCCCCGCCATAGTCGCCAGACCAGTTGCCCTCCAGCACGCCGTCGTCATCCAGAGAGTTCACCTGGGGGGCGGGGGGGTGGGGGAGGGGGAGGGAGGGGGTGGGAGGGAGGGGGTGGGAGGGAGGGAGGGAGGAGAGGGGGAGGAGGGTGGAGGGAGGGAGGGGGTGGGAGGGGGAGGAAGAGGGAGGGGGTGGGAGGGGGAGGGAGGGGGAGGGAGGGGGTGGGAGGGAGGGGGAGGGAGGGGGTGGGAGGGGGAGGGAGGGGGTGGGAGGGGGTGGGAGGGGGTGGGAGGGGGTGGGAGGGAGGGAGGGATGGGAGGGGGTGGGAGGGAGGGGGAGGGAGGGGGTGGGAGGGAGGGGGAGGGAGGGGGTGGGAGGGGGAGGGAGGGGGAGGGAGGGGGTGGGAGGGAGGGGGAGGGAGGGGGTGGGAGGGGGAGGGAGGGGGTGGGAGGGGGTGGGAGGGGGTGGGAGGGGGTGGGAGGGAGGGAGGGATGGGAGGGGGTGGGAGGGAGGGGGAGGGAGGGGGTGGGAGGGAGGGGGAGGGAGGGGGTGGGAGGGGGAGGGAGGGGGAGGGAGGGGGTGGGAGGGAGGGGGAGGGAGGGGGTGGGAGGGGGAGGGAGGGGGTGGGAGGGGGTGGGAGGGGGTGGGAGGGGGTGGGAGGGAGGGAGGGATGGGAGGGGGTGGGAGGGAGGGGGAGGGAGGGGGTGGGAGGGAGGGGGAGGGAGGGGGTGGGAGGGGGAGGGAGGGGGTGGGAGGGGGTGGGAGGGAGGGGAGCTTTCGTGAGGCGAGTTTTGGGGGTAGATGGAAGGGCTACCGAGTCTGACAGGGGAGGTGGGCGTCAGTGTGGTGTAGTGTGGTGTAGTGTGGTGTGGTGTAGTGTGGTGTGGTGTGGTGTAGTGTGGTGTAGTGTGGTGTGTAGTGTAGTGTGATGTAATGTGGTGTAGTGTGTAATGTGGTGTGGTGTAGTGTAGTGTGTAGTGTAGTGTGATGTAATGTGGTGTAGTGTAGTGTGTAATGTGGTGTAGTGTAGTGTGTAGTGTAGTGTGTAGTGTAGTGTGATGTAATGTGGTGTAGTGTAGTGTGTAATGTGGTGTAGTGTAGTGTGTAGTGTAGTGTGATGTAATGTGGTGTAGTGTAGTGTGTAATGTGGTGTAGTGTAGTGTGTAATGTGGTGTAGTGTAGTGTGGTGTAGTGTGGTGTGGTGTAGTGTGGTGTAGTGTGGTGTAGTGTGGTGTAGTGTGGTGTGGTGGTGTAGTGTGGTGTGGTGTAGTGTGGTGTAGTGTGGTGTAGTGTGGTGTGGTGTGGTGGTGTAGTGTGGTGTGGTGTAGTGTGGTGTAGTGTGGTGTGGTGTGGTGTAGTGTGGTGTGATAGTGTAGTGTGGTGTAGTGTGGTGTAGTGTGTTGTAGTGTGGTGTGGTGTAGTGTGGTGTAGTGTGGTGTAGTGTGGTGTGGTGTAGTGTGATAGTGTAGTGTGGTGTAGTGTGGTGTAGTGTGGTGTAGTGTGATAGTGTAGTGTGGTGTAGTGTAGTGTGGTGTAGTGTGGTGTAGTGTGGTGTAGTGTGATAGTGTAGTGTGGTGTAGTGTGGTGTAGTGTGGTGTAGTGTGGTGTGGTGTAGTGTGATAGTGTAGTGTGGTGTAGTGTGGTGTAGTGTGGTGTAGTGTGGTGTGGTGTAGTGTGATAGTGTAGTGTGGTGTAGTGTGGTGTAGTGTAGTGTGGTGTAGTGTGGTGTAGTGTGGTGTAGTGTGGTGTAGTGTGGTGTGGTGTAGTGTGGTGTTGTGTGGTGTACTCACCATGGCGGAGACAATCCGCACGACTTTAACGGGGCAGCCCCTCCCAGCCAGGGGCAGAGACGCGCGGTCCATGATCATCACACTCGCCTCTAACACGTCCTTCTCAAACTGAGACACGGAGACACGGAGACACAGAGACACGGAGACACGGAGACACGGTCCATGATCATCACACTCGCCTCTAACACGTCCTTCTCAAACTGAGACACGGAGACACGGAGACACAGAGACACAGAGACACGGAGACACAGTCCATGATCATCACACTCGCCTCTAACACGTCCTTCTCAAACTGAGACACAGAGACACAGAGACACGGAGACACAGAGACACAGAGACACGGAGACACGGTCCATGATCATCACACTCGCCTCTAACACGTCCTTCTCAAACTGAGACACAGAGACACAGAGACACAGAGACACGGAGACACAGAGACACAGAGACACGGAGACAAGGTCCATGATCATCACACTCGCCTCTAACACGTCCTTCTCAAACTGAGACACAGAGACACAGAGACACAGAGACACGGAGACTCAGAGACACAGAGACACGGAGACACGGTCCATGATCATCACACTCGCCTCTAACACGTCCTTCTCAAACTGAGACACGGAGACACGGAGACACAGAGACACAGAGACACGGTCCATGATCATCACACTCGCCTCTAACACGTCCTTCTCAAACTGAGACACAGAGACACAGAGACACGGAGACACGGTCCATGATCATCACACTCGCCTCTAACACGTCCTTCTCAAACTGAGACACGGAGACACAGAGACACAGAGACACAGAGACACAGAGACACGGAGACACAGAGACACAGAGACACGGAGACACAGTCCATGATCATCACACTCGCCTCTAACACGTCCTTCTCAAACTGAGACACAGAGACACAGAGACACAGAGACACAGAGACACGGAGACACGGAGACACGGTCCATGATCATCACACTCGCCTCTAACACGTCCTTCTCAAACTGAGACACAGAGACACAGAGACACGGAGACACAGAGACACAGAGACACGGAGACACGGTCCATGATCATCACACTCGCCTCTAACACGTCCTTCTCAAACTGAGACACAGAGACACAGAGACACAGAGACACGGTCCATGATCATCACACTTACCTCTAACACGTCCTTCTCAAACTGAGACACGGAGACACGGAGACACAGAGACACGGAGACACGGGGACACAGAGACACGGAGACACGGTCCATGATCATCACACTCGCCTCTAACACGTCCTTCTCAAACTGAGACACGGAGACACAGAGACACAGACACGGTCCATGATCATCACACTCACCTCTAACACGTCCTTCTCAAACTGAGACACGGAGACACGGAGACACAGAGACACGGAGACACGGGGACACAGAGACACGGAGACACGGTCCATGATCATCACACTCGCCTCTAACACGTCCTTCTCAAACTGAGATACGGAGACACAGAGACACAGACACGGTCCATGATCATCACAGTCGCCTCTAACACGTCATTCTCAAACTGAGACACGGAGACACAGAGACACAGAGACACGGAGACACGGAGACACAGAGATACAGAGACACGGAGACACAGAGACACGGAGACACGGTTCATGATCATCACACTCGCCTCTAACACGTCCTTCTCAAACTGAGACACAGAGACACAGAGACACAGAGACACGGAGACACAGAGCCACAGAGACACGGTCCATGATCATCACACTCGCCTCTAACACGTCCTTCTCAAACTGAGACACGGAGACACAGAGACACAGAGACACAGAGACACGGTCCATGATCATCACACTCGCCTCTAACACGTCCTTCTCAAACTGAGACACGGAGACACAGAGACACAGAGACACAGAGACACGGTCCATGATCATCACACTCGCCTCTAACACGTCCTTCTCAAACTGAGACACAGAGACACGGAGACACAGAGACACAGAGACACAGAGACACGGTCCATCATCATCACACTCGCCTCTAACACGTCCTTCTCAAACTGAGACACGGAGACACAGAGACACAGAGACACAGAGACACAGAGACACGGAGACACAGAGACACGGTCCATGATCATCACACTCGCCTCTAACACGTCCTTCTCAAACTGAGACACAGAGACACAGAGACACAGAGACACGGTCCATGATCATCACACTCGCCTCTAACACGTCCTTCTCAAACTGAGACACGGAGACACGGAGACACAGAGACACAGAGACACAGAGACACGGTCCATGATCATCACATTCGCCTCTAAGACGTCCTTCTCAAACTGAGACACGGAGACACAGAGACACAGAGACACAGAGACACGGTCCATGATCATCACACTCGCCTCTAAGACGTCCTTCGCAAACTGAGACACGGAGACACAGAGACACGGAGACACTGAGACACGGAGACACAGAGACACGGAGACACAGAGACACGGAGACACAGAGACACAGAGACACGGAGACACGGGGACACAGAGACACGGAGACACGGTCCATGATCATCACACTCGCCTCTAACACGTCCTTCTCAAACTGAGACACGGAGACACGGAGACACAGAGACACGGAGACACGGGGACACAGAGACACGGAGACACGGTCCATGATCATCACACTCGCCTCTAACACGTCCTTCTCAAACTGAGACACGGAGACACAGAGACACAGACACGGTCCATGATCATCACAGTCGCCTCTAACACGTCATTCTCAAACTGAGACACGGAGACACAGAGACACAGAGACACGGAGACACAGAGATACAGAGACACGGAGACACAGAGACACGGAGACACGGTTCATGATCATCACACTCGCCTCTAACACGTCCTTCTCAAACTGAGACACAGAGACACAGAGACACGGAGACACAGAGCCACAGAGACACGGTCCATGATCATCACACTCGCCTCTAACACGTCCTTCTCAAACTGAGACACGGAGACACAGAGACACGGAGACACAGAGACACAGAGACACGGTCCATGATCATCACACTCGCCTCTAACACGTCCTTCTCAAACTGAGACACGGAGACACGGAGACACAGAGACACAGAGACACGGTCCATGATCATCACACTCGCCTCTAACACGTCCTTCTCAAACTGAGACACAGAGACACGGAGACACAGAGACACAGAGACACAGAGACACGGTCCATCATCATCACACTCGCCTCTAACACGTCCTTCTCAAACTGAGACACGGAGACACAGAGACACAGAGACACAGAGGCACAGAGACACAGAGACACAGAGACACGGAGACACGGAGACACAGAGACACGGTCCATGATCATCACACTCGCCTCTAACACGTCCTTCTCAAACTGAGACACAGAGACACAGAGACACAGAGACACGGTCCATGATCATCACACTCGCCTCTAACACGTCCTTCTCAAACTGAGACACGGAGACACGGAGACACAGAGACACAGAGACACGGTCCATGATCATCACACTCGCCTCTAAGACGTCCTTCTCAAACTGAGACACGGAGACACAGAGACACAGAGACACAGAGACACGGTCCATGATCATCACACTCGCCTCTAAGACGTCCTTCGCAAACTGAGACACGGAGACACGGAGACACAGAGACAGAGACACAGAGACACGGAGACACTGAGACACGGAGACACAGAGACACGGAGACACAGAGACACGGTCCATGATCATCACACTCGCCTCCAACACGTCCTTCTCAAACTGAGACACGGAGACATAGAGACACGGAGACACGGAGACACAGAGACACAGAGACACGGAGACACGGAGACCATGATCATCATACACACGCAGGTGGAGACAGATAGAGAGAGCCAGGTGTGGATTGCCAGGTGTGGATGGACAGGTGTGGATGGACAGGTGTAGATGGACAGGTGTGGATGGACAGGTGTAGATGGACAGGTGTGGATTACCAAGTGTGGATGGACAGGTGTGGATGGACAGGTGTAGATTGCCAGGTGTAGATGGACAGGTGTGGATGGACAGGTGTGGATGGACAGGTATGGATGACCAGGTGTGCATGGACAGGTGTGGATTGCCAGGTGTAGATGGACAGGTGTGGATGGACAGGTGTGGATTGCCAGGTGTAGATGGACAGGTGTAGATGGACAGGTGTGGATGGACAGGTGTGGATGGACAGGTGTGGATTGACAGGTGTGGATGGACAGGTGTGGATGGACAGGTGTAGATGGACAGGTGTGGATGGACACGTGTGGATGGACAGGTGTAGATGGACAGGTGTGGATGGACAGGTGTGGATGGACAGGTGTAGATGGACAGGTGTGGATGGACAGGTGTGGATTGCCATGTGTAGATGGACAGGTGTGGATGGACAGGTGTAGATGGACAGGTGTAGATGGACAGGTGTGGATGGACAGGTGTGGATTGCCAGGTGTAGGTGGACAGGTGTAGATGGACAGATGTAGATGGCCAGGTGTAGATGGACAGGTGTAGATGGACAGGTGTGGATTGACAGGTGTGGATTAACAGGTGTGCATGGACAGGTGTAGATGGACAGGTGTAGATGGACAGGTGTGGATGGACAGGTGTGGATGGACAGGTGTAGATGGACAGGTGTGGATGGACAGGTGTGGATTGACAGGTGTGGATTAACAGGTGTGGATGGACAGGTGTAGATGGCCAGGTGTGGATGGACAGGTGTGGATGGACAGGTGTCGATGGACAGGTGTAGATGGACAGGTGTGATTGGACAGGTGTGGATGGACAGGTGTAGATGGACAGGTGTGGATGGACAGGTGTGCATGGACAGGTGTGGATGGACATGTAGATTTCCAGGTGTAGATGGACAGGTGTGGATGGACAGGTATGGATGGACAGGTGTAGATGGACATTTGTGGATTGCCAGGTGTGGATTGCCAGGTGTAGATGGGCAGGTGTGGATGGACAGGTGTAGATGGACAGGTGTAGATTGCCAGGTGTAGGTGGACAGGCGTGGATGGACAGGTGTGGATGGACAGATGTGGACGGACAGGTGTGGACGGACAGGTGTAGATGGACAGGTATAGATGGACAGGTGTAGATGGACAGGTGTAGATGGACAGGTGTAGATGGACAGGTGTGCATGGACATGTGTGGATGGACAGGTGTAGATGGACAGGTGTAGATGGACAGGTATAGATGGACAGGTGTAGATGGACAGGTGTAGATTGCCAGGTGTAGATGGACAGGTGTAGATTCCCAGGTGTGGATGGACAGGTGTGGATGGACAGGTGTGGATGGACAGGTGTAGATGGACAGGTGTGGATGGACAGGTGTGGATGGACAGGTGTAGATGGACAGGTGTAGATGGACAGGTGTAGATGGACAGGTGTGCATGGACAGGTGTGGATTGCCAGGTGTAGATGGACAGGTGTAGATGGACAGGTGTAGATGGACAGGTGTACATTGCAAGGTGTGGATTGCCAGGTGTAGATGGACAGGTGTAGATGGACAGGTGTAGATAGACAGGTGTAGATGGACAGGTGTAGATTCCCAGGTGTAGATGGACAGGTGTGGATGGACAGGTGTAGATTGCCAGGTGTAGATGGACAGGTGTGGATGGACAGGTGTGGATGGACAGGTGTAGATTCCCAGGTGTAGACGGACAGGTGTAGATGGACAGGTGTAGATGGACAGGTGTGGGGTGGGGGCCCCACCTGTCCGTAGTTCCAGGGACGTGATCCAATCTGCTGCTCCGTGCCGTAGTAGATCCTCCCGGTGTCGGCCAGCACGTACTCCCTCCGCCACGCCTCCACCTCCATGAACACCGCGTCCTCTAGCGGGGGTGGGGCAGGGGGGCACGGGGGGCACGGGGGGGCACGGGAGGAGGTAGAGGGGGGGAAGGGGGGAGGGGATGGGGGCATGGGGGTGGGAGGGGACTCTCTCTGAGTTTGACCGGGACACCAGGCTTTGAAGATGATGTAGATGTCTCTGTGTGTCTCTGTGTGTCTCTGTGGGTCTCTGTGTGTCTCTGTGTGTCTCTGTGTGTCTCTGTGGGTCTCTGTGATTCTCTGTGAGTCTCTGTGAGTCTGACCGGGACACCAGGCGTTGAAGATGATGTAGATGTCTCTGTGTGTCTCTGTGGGTCTCTGTGTGTCTCTGTGGGTCTTTGTGTATCTCTGTGTGTCTCTGTGTGTCTCTGTGGGTCTCTGTGGGTCTATGTGGGTCTCTGTGTGTCTCTGTGGGTCTCTGCGTGTCTCTGTGTGTTTCTGTGGGTCTTTGTGTATCTCTGTGTGTCTCTGTGTGTCTCTGTGGGTCTCTGTGGGTCTCTGTGTGTCTCCGTGGGTCTCTGTGGGTCTCTGTGGGTCTCTGTGTGTCTCTGTGGGTCTCTGTGGGTCTCTGTGGGTCTCTGTGGGTCTCTTTGTGTCTCTGTGTGTCTCTGTGGGTCTCTGTGTGTCTCACCGGGACGCCACGCGTTCAAGATGATGTAGATGTATCTTTTGTCTCTGTGTATCTCTGTGTGTCTCTGTGTGTCTCTGTGGGTCTGTGTGGGTCTGTGTGTCTCTGTGTGTCTCTGTGGGTCTTTGTGGATCTCCATGTGTCTCTGTGGTTCTCTGTGGGTCTCTGTGGGTCTCTGTGGGTCTCTGTGGGTCTCTGTGGGTCTCTGTGGGTCTCTGTGGGTCTCTGTGAGTCTGACCGGGAAACCAGGCGTTGAAGATGATGTAGGTGTCTCTGTGTGTCTCTGTGTGTCTCTGTGTGTCTCTGTGTGTCTCTGTGTGTCTCCCTGGGTCTCTGTGTGTCTCTGTGGGTCTATGTGGGTCTCTGTGGGTCTCTGTGTGTCTCTGTGTGTCTCTGTGAGTCTCTGTGAGTCTCTTGTGCGTCTCTGTGGGGCTTTGTGTATCTCTGTGTGTCTCTGTGGGTCTCTGTGGGTCTCTGTGGGTCTCTGTGTGTCTCCGTGGGTCTCTGTGGGTCTCTGTGGGTCTCTGTGGGTCTCTGTGGGTCTCTGTGTGTCTCTGTGGGTCTCTGTGGGTCTCTGTGAGTCTCTGTGCGTCTCTGTGGGTCTTTGTGTATCTCTGTGTATCTCTGTGTGTCTCTGTGGGTCTTTGTGTATCTCTGTGTGTCTCTGTGTGTCTCTGTGGGTCTCTGTGGGTCTCTGTGGGTCTCTGTGGGTCTCTGTGGGTCTTTGTGTATCTCTGTGTGTCTTTGTGTGTCTCTGTGTGTCTCTGTGTGTCTCTGTGGGTCTGTGTGGGTCTTCGTGGATCTCCATGTGTCTCTGTGGTTCTCTGTGGGTCTCTGTGGGTCTCTATGGGTCTCTATGCGTCTCTGTGGGTCTCTGTGGGTCTCTGTGGGTCTCTGTGGGTCTCTGTGAGTCTGACTGGGAAACCAGGCGTTGAAGATGATGTAGGTGTCTCTGTGTGTCTCTGTGTGTCTCTGTGTGTTTCTATGTGTCTCTGTGGTTCTCTGTGGGTCTCTGTGTGTCTCTGTGTGTCTCTGTGGGTCTCTGTGGGTCTCTGTGTGTCTCTGTGGGTCTCCGTGGGTCTCACCGGGACACCTGGCATTGAAGATGATGTAGATGTCTCTGTGTGTCTCAGTGTGTCTCTGTCTGTCTCTGTGTGTCTTTGTGTGTCTCTGTGTGTCTGTGTGCGTCTCTGTGGGTCTCTGTGAGTCTCTGTGCGTCTCTGTGGGTCTTTGTGTATCTCTGTGTATCTCTGTGTGTCTCTGTGGGTCTTTGTGTATCTCTGTGTGTCTCTGTGTGTCTCTGTGGGTCTCTGTGGGTCTCTGTGGGTCTCTGTGGGTCTCTGTGGGTCTTTGTGTATCTCTGTGTGTCTTTGTGTGTCTCTGTGTGTCTCTGTGTGTCTCTGTGGGTCTGTGTGGGTCTTCGTGGATCTCCATGTGTCTCTGTGGTTCTCTGTGGGTCTCTGTGGGTCTCTATGGGTCTCTATGCGTCTCTGTGGGTCTCTGTGGGTCTCTGTGGGTCTCTGTGGGTCTCTGTGAGTCTGACTGGGAAACCAGGCGTTGAAGATGATGTAGGTGTCTCTGTGTGTCTCTGTGTGTCTCTGTGGGTCTGTGTGGGTCTTCGTGGATCTCCATGTGTCTCTGTGGTTCTCTGTGGGTCTCTGTGGGTCTCTATGCGTCTCTGTGGGTCTCTGTGGGTCTCTGTGGGTCTCTGTGAGTCTCTGTGAGTCTGACTGGGAAACCAGGCGTTGAAGATGATGTAGGTGTCTCTGTGTGTCTCTGTGTGTCTCTGTGTGTTTCTATGTGTCTCTGTGGTTCTCTGTGGGTCTCTGTGTGTCTCTGTGTGTCTTTGTGTGTCTCAGTGTGTCTCTGTGTGTCTCTGTGTGTCTCTTTGTGTCTCTGTGTGTCTCTGTGTGTCTCTGTGTGTCTCAGTGTGTCTCTGTGTGTCTCCGTGTGTCTCCGTGTGCCTCACCGGGACACCAGGTGTTGAAGATGATGTAGATGTCTCTGTGTGTCTCTATGTGTCTCTGTGTGTCTCTCTGTGTCTCTGTGTGTCTCTGTGTGTCTCTGTGTGTCTCTGTGGGTCTCTGTGTGTCTCTGTGGGTCTCTGTGGGTCTCTGTGTGTCTCTGTGTGTCTTTGTGTGTCTCAGTGTGTCTCTGTGTGTCTCTGTGTGTCTCTTTGTGTCTCTGTGTGTCTCTGTGGGTCTCTGTGGGTCTCTGTGTGTCTCCGTGTGTCTCACCGGGACACCATGCGTTGAAGATTATGTAGATGTCTCTGTGTGTCTCTTTGTGTCTCTGTGTGTCTCTGCGTGTCTCCGTATGCCACTGTGGGTCTCTTTGTGTCTCTGTGTGTCTCTGTGTGTCTCCGTATGTCTCTGTGTGTCTCTGTCTCCGCGTGTCTCCGCGTGTCTCCGCGCGTCTCCGTGCGTCTCCGTGTGCCTCACCGGGACACCATGCGTTGAAGATTATGTAGATGTCTCTGTGTGTCTCTGTGTGTCTCTGTGTGTCTCTTTGTGTCTCCGTGTGTCTCCGTGTGTCTCCGTGTGCCTACGTGTGCCTCACCGGGACACCATGCGTTGAAGATGATGTAGATGTCTCTGTGGGTCTCTGTGGGTCTCTGTGTGTCACTGTGGGTCTCTGTGTGTCACTGTGTGTCTCTGTGTGTCTCTGTGTGTCTCTGTGTCTCCGCGTGTCTCTGTGTGTCTCCGCGTGTCTCCGCGCACCTCCGTGCGCCTCACCGGGACACCATGCGTTGAAGATGATGTAGATGTCTCTGTGTGTCTCTGTGTGTCTCTGTGTGTCTCTGCGTGTCTCCGTATGCCTCTGTGTGTCTCCGCGTGTCTCCGCGTGTCTCCGCGCGCCTCCGTGCGCCTCACCGGGACACCATGCGTTGAAGATGATGTAGATGTCTCTGTGTGTCTCTGTGTGTCTCTGAGTGTCTCTGTGTGTCTCTGTGTGTCTCCGCGTGTCTCCGCGTGCCTCCGCGCGTCTACCGCGCGTCTACCGCGCGTCTACCGCGCGCCTCCCGCGCGCCTCACCGGGACACCATGCGTTGAAGATGATGTAGATGTCTCTGTGTGTCTCTGTGTGTCTCCGTGTGTCTCTCTCCGCGTGTCTCCGCGCGCCTCCGTGCGCCTCACCGGGACACCATGCGTTGAAGATGATGTAGATGTCTCTGTGTGTCTCTGTGTGTCTCTGTGTGTCTCCGCGTGTCTCCGTGTGTCTCTGTGCGCCTCACCGGGACACCATGCGTTGAAGATGATGTAGATGTCTCTGTGTGTCTCTCTGTGTCTCCGCGTGTCTCTGTGTGTCTCCGTGTGTCTCTGTGCGCCTCACCGGGACACCATGCGTTGAAGATGATGTAGATGTCTCTGTGTGTCTCTGTGTGTCTCCGCGCGTCTACCGCGCGCCTCCCGCGCGCCTCACCGGGACACCATGCGTTGAAGATGATGTAGATGTCGCTTTCCTCCCTGCGCGCCGAGCGGTGGCTGCCGGCGGGTCCTTGCGTGGACACGAAGAGGCGCCACTTCCCCACGAGGCAGTCTGCCCGCACGCGGAGCCACAGGGCCCTGTTCCTCCCATTGGCCCCGCCGGCCTCTGTCAGCCCGCCGGAAGCCCACCAAGCGCCCGAGGTGCAGTCGGTGTCGTCGTCGTAGGAGGCGGTGGAGGAGGAGGAGGCGGCGGCGGAGGAGGAGGAGGAGGCGGCGACGTCTCCCTCGCCGGCGGCTCGTGTCTCCACGGGGAAAATCAGATGGGTGCCCTTGTTCAGCTGTGGGTGGGAGCCTGGGTGGGCGGGTGTGGTGTGGGTGTGGGTGGGTGGGTGTGGGGTGGGGGGGTGGGGTGTGGTGTGGTGGGTGGGGGGGGCGGTCAAGGTGAGATGCTCGGAAAGCAATCGAGAGAAACAGGGAGACGCGGCGATACATGGGGAGAGATATGGAGAGAGAGAGACATGGAGAGAGACATATGGAGAGAGACATGGAGAGATTGAGAGACATGGAGAGAGAGAGACATGGAGAGAGACATGGGGAGAGACATGGAGAGAGAGAGAGACACGGAGAGAAAGACATGGAGAGAGAGACATGGAGACACAGCGAGACATGGAGAGAGACATGGAGAGAGAGACATGGAGAGAGAGACATGGAGAGAGAGACATGGAGAGAGACATGGAGAGAGACAGACACGGAGAGAAAGACATGGAGAGAGAGAGACATGGAGACACAGCGAGACATGGAGAGAGACATAGAGAGAGAGACATGGAGAGAGAGAGACATGGAGAGAGAGACATGAAGAGAGAGAGACATGGAGACACAGCGAGACATGGAGAGAGACATGGGGAGAGACATGGAGAGACAGACATGGAGAGAGAGACATGGGCACTTGGTTAAAGAATGGAGGGGGAGGGGGGGAGCATCAGAGAGAGAGAGAGAGGGGGTGGGGGGTGATCGGATTGGATAAGAGGCCCAACGGATCGGCGCCGCGGATGCTTTTCGAAGCCGAGCATCAACAAACGGGGACGCCTTTTCGGGGGTGGCACAGGGCAGTTCTCGCTAGGGGATCAACCGCGGAGAGCGGGATCGAGAAGCCGTCACACCTCACCGTTACCCGCGCGTCCGCGAGACGGGCGGCCAGCTTCCGTTCACAGCATCGTCTCTCTCGGCGACGACCCAAGGCCGAGAGGACGGACCGTTAGCTTGCAAGGAAGGGAGGTGACACTATTGGGGGCGAAATTCTCAGAGAGAGAGAGAGAGATAGGGAGAGAGAGAGCGAGCGAGCGGACAGGCCGATTAAGAATCAGACAAGCACAGAGAGAGAGAGAGAAGTTGGACCCGTTCCATCCCTGGTCCCGCGCTGACACACACGCGCGGTCCGGCATGTTTATCCGCGAAGGGGGGGGGGGGGGGGGGTGAATCGTCCGTGGAGATGAAGGGGGAGCGCGTGGTGTGGCGAGCCTTGATTGTAAGGCGGTTATAGTGCGGCCAGTTAAATCATCATAAGCACGAGGAGCAGCAGCGAAAGGGGGGGGGGGGAGAGCGGAGGATCGGGGAAAGGGGGGGGGCACGGGAGAACGGAGAGACGAGCGGGGGGGGAGGCAGTCTCCGTAACAAGACACGGACCCGCCCAATCCCTGACTAATCACTCGCTAACCGCAAGCCACAATCCCCCGTGACGATATCAACTGACGGGTCGTCAAGATAGCCACACCCCCCCCCCCCCCCCCCCCGTGAGTGGGTGAGTGAGTGGCTGCGTGAGTGAGTGGGTGAGTGAGTGAGTCGCTGAGTGAGTGAGTGGCTGAGTGAGTGGGTGAGTGGCTGAGTGATTGAGTGGCTGAGTGAGTGTGTGAGTGCCTGAGTGAGTGAGTGGCTGAGTGAGTGGGTGAGTGGGTGGGCGAGTGGCTGAGTGAGTGAGTGAGTGCCTGAGTGAGTGGCTGAGTGAGTGAGTGGCTGAGTGAGTGGGTGAGTGGCTGAGTGATTGAGTGACTGCCTGAGTGAGTGAGTGGCTGAGTGGGTGGGTGAGTGGCTGAGTGAGTGGCTGAGTGAGTGGGTGAGTGGCTGAGTGAGTGAGTGGTTGAGTGAGTGGCTGAGTGAGTGAGTGCCTGAGTGAGTCGGTGAGTGCCTGAGTGAGTGAGTGGCTGAGTGAGTGGTTGAGTGAGTGAGTGGCTGAGTGAGTGGTTGAGTGCGTGAGTGGCTGAGTGCCTGGGTGAGTGAGTGGCTGAGTGAGTGAGTACCTGAGTTAGTGAGTGGCTGAGTGAGTGGCTGAGTGAGTGGTTGAGTGAGTGGGCGAGTGAGTGAGTGGGCGAGTGAGTGGGTGGGCAAGTGAGTGGTTGAGTGAGTGAGTGGCTGAGTGAGTGGCTGAGTGGGTGAGTGGCTGAGTGAGTGAGTGGCTGAGTGAGTGGCTGAGTGACTGAGTGAGTGAGTGGCTGAGTGACTGAGTGAGTGGGTGAGTGGCTGAGTGAGTGGGTGAGTGGCTGAGTGAATGGATGAGTGGGTGAGTGGCTGAGTGAGTGAGTGGGTCAGTGGCTGAGTGAGTGAGTGGGTGAGTGGGTGGGCGAGTGAGTGGGTGGGTGGGCCAGTGAGTGGTTGAGTGCCTGAGTGAGTGAGTGGTTGAGTGACTGAGTGAGTGAGTGGCTGAGTGAGTGGCTGAGTGACTGAGTGAGTGGGTGAGTCGCTGAGTGAGTGAGTGAGTGCCTGAGTGAGTGAGTGGCTGAGTGAGTGAGTGAGTGGTTGAGTGGCTGAGTGAGTGGCTGAGTGAGTGGCTGAGTTAAGTGAGTGAGTGCCTGAGTGAGTGAGTGAGTGACTGAGTGAGTGAGTGAGTGCCTGAGTGAGTGGTTGAGTGACTGAGTGAGTGGTTGAGTGCCTGAGTGAGTGAGTGCCTGAGTGAGTGGTTGAGTGACTGAGTGAGTGGTTGAGTGCCTGACTGAGTGAGTGAGTGGAGTGAGTGAGTGAGTGGAGTGAGTGAGTGGCTGAGTGACTGAGTGAGTGAGTGGCTGAGTGAGTAAGTGGCTGAGTGAGTAGCTGAGTGAGTGACTGAGTGACTGAGTGAGTGGCTGAGTGAGTGATTGCCTGAGTGAGTGAGTGGCTGAGTGAGTGGTTGAGTGCGTGAGTGAGTGACTGAGTGACTGAGTGACTGAGTGCCTGAGTGAGTGACAGAGTGACTGAGTGAGTAGCTGAGTGAGTGCCTGAGTGAGTGGCTGAGTGAGTGAGTGCCTGAGTGAGTGAGTGGCTGAGTGAGTGGTTGAGTGACTGAGTGAGTAGCTGAGTGAGTGCCTGAGTGAGTGGCTGAGTGAGTGAGTGCCTGAGTGAGTGCGTGGCTGAGTGAGTGGCTGAGTGACTGAGTGAGTGACTGAGTGAGTGGCTGAGTGACTGAGTGACTGAGTGGCTGACTGAGTGGCTGCCTGCCTGACTGAGTGTCTGAGTGACGAGGCGAGCGAGCCCCACCGATCTCGAGCTCCACGGAGACGCGGTCCACGCCGTCCGTGGGAGTGCGAGAGAAGGCCGCGTGCAGCAGGACGGGGCCCCCCCTGCGCGTGACCACGTGACCAGCGGCGTACTCCGCGCTGCGGTGACGCGCGCGGTTCCAGGCCCCCGGCCCCCCGCCGCCACGGCCGCCTGCGTCGACCCACAGAGCCTCCAGCCGGGACACGCCTGGGGGAGGGGGAGGGGGAGGGGGGAGGGGGGAGGGGGGGAGGGGGTGAGGGGGAGGGGGGCAGGTGGGGGCACGGGGGGGAGGGACGCGCCTGGGGTGAGGAGGGCACGGGGAGGGAGACACGGGGGGGGGGGAGGGAGACACGGGGGGGGGGAGACACGGGGGGGGAGAGACACGGGGGGGGGAGGGAGACACGGGGGGGGGGGACACGGGGGGGGGGGGAGACACGGGGGGGGGAGGGAGACACGGGGGGGGGGAGACACGGGGGGGGGGAGGGAGACACGGGGGGGGGAGGGAGACACGGGGGGGGGAGGGAGACACGGGGGGGGGAGGGAGACACGGGGGGGGGAGGGAGACACGGGGGGGGGGGGGGAGACACGGGGAGACACGGGGGGGGACAAGGGGAGACACGGGGAGACACGGGGGTGGACAAGGGGAGACACGAGGGGAGACACGAGGGGGACACGGGGGGGGGACAAGGAGAGACACGGGGAGACACGGGGGTGGACAAGGGGAGACACAGGGAGACACGGGGGTGGACAAGGGGAGACACGGGGGGGCACGGTGGGGGACAAGGGGAGACACGAGGGGGACAAGGGGAGACACGGGGGAAACACGGGGAGACACGGGGGGGACAAGGGGAGACACGAGGGGGACAAGGGGAGACACGGGGGGGCACGGTGGGGGAGACACGGGGTGGGGGGCTGGGTGGGAACGCGAGAGAGGCGCGTGGCCGCGTGGATCCACACCTGGGGTGGTGGTTTTGCGTGAAAATCTTGAAAAACGAGAAACTTACCCACAGAGCCACGTGGGAGAGAGGGGGGAGAGATGGGGGAGTGGGAGAGAGAACGTGGCTTCTTGCACGGTGGGATCACCACACCCACCACCAGCACCACCACCACCACGACGCCACGAAGTGGCTGTAACGTCACCACGACGCCTTGTGTGCCAGGCTAGGTGCACCGTGAGGCCACGCGAAGTGTGGAACGCCCGCCGGCAGGAGGTCACGGGGCAGACCCAGCAGGTGCCACGGGTCGACTGACTGAGATGAGTGGCTGATGCACCACCTGTGCCCCCCCTGCTGTGCCAACTTGCTGTGCTTTAGCCGCCCGGCGCTCCGCTCGTTGTTGTGAGCGTCGCTCCTCCGCCCTCCGTTGTTGTTGGAGGGCGACTGCCTCCAACTGCCCAGTAGCATCCTTCACGAGCCTCCTCCACAGAGGCCGATCTTGACACCGCTGGTACCGGTCATCGGTAAGTCCACTCAGCTCCACGTCCTCCTGTACCACATCACTCCATCTCTTCTCTAGCCCGTGCCGTGTCCGTTTAGCCCCCTCGATCCGGCTGAACAAAATCTGTTTCGGCATGCGGTGGCTGGGCATGCGGGCTACATGACCCAGCCATCGCAGCCTTGCCTGCCGGAGGAGCTCACCGATGGGACTTTGTCCAGATCTTTCAAGGATTTGTGAGCTCCTCACACAATCCAGCCTGAAAAGTCGATGTTGAATAATCCTTGCCAGGAACTTTCCCGGCACACTGAGGAGTGAGATGCCCCTGTAGTTGTTACAGTCCGTGCGGTCCCCCTTCTTAAAGAGGGGGACCACCAGGGCATCCTTCCAATCTTGCGGAACCCGTCCAGTGGTCTAGACTGTTGTTATGATGTCATAGAGGGCAGTCTGTGCACAAACGCCACCCTCCCTCAGCATTTCGCTTGGGAGATCATCTCTGTCCGGTATTTTTCGTGGTCTCAGACTGTGGATCGCCTTCAGTACTTCCTCAACAGATGGCACCTCAGGCAGCCATTCACAGGGGGTGACTTCTACTTCCAATATATGAGGCACTGCAGCCTCAGCAGGGTCATCCCTACTTTGCCCATGATATTTTTCAGGCTGAAGGATTTCCCTTCCCCCAAGACCTCACATAAATGCTCAGCAAATCTGCAAACCTGTTCCTGGGGGTCGGAGATCAGATCCCTGTTCTTTACCCTAATGATGGCAATAGGTGTGGAAATACAAGTTACTTTTTTGATGGAGTTAAAGAGCCATTTGTGATCACGGGCCACAGAGGCAGACTCCATCTCCTCATCATCACATGACCACCACCCACCATCTTTGCAGCGCCTCACGGCTCTCCGAACCTCCGAGCAAAGGCTGCGGTAAGCCTCCTCATTCTCTGACGTGGGATGCTGTAGCCGATGAGAGTGGGCCTGTCGCTTTTTCTCAGCCAGCCTGAACACCTCCTCTGTCAGCCAGGGTCTCTGGGGAGGTCTGGACCGCGTACCCAAAGCAGCCATTGCAGCTACATGAGTCACAGTCCTAAACCTCGCCCATTTCCCCTCGACGTCAGGAGGAGTGGAGGACGATGCCAACCCCAGCTGCAAGCGATGATGAAATTCTCGCTTGCAACTTTCATCAGCTAGCTGAGACCATGCCACTATCAGTTTGAATGGGGTCCTGGGTGTACACCCACCACCGTAGTGTAAAAATGGCAGGCGAATCTTACAGGTTGCAAATCGATGGTCAGTGGGCAGATCAGCTCCACAGTAGGTCCTGGTGTCAAGGACATGGGCTCGCATCCGCTGGTCCGTCACTATGTAGTCCAGCAGATGTTCTTGCTTGGACCCGGCATGCATCCATGGTGTTGTGTGGATGCGCCGATGCCGGAACAGCGTGTTGGTAATTACAAGCCCATGGGCTGCACAAAAATCTAGCAGCCTCCTACCGTTGTTATTGAGCTGATCCGGCCCATGCCCTCCAATCACTCCAGACCAGGTGCCAGCATCATGACACACTCGGGCATTGAAGTCACCCAACATGATGACTCTATCCCAAGGGGCCACTTTAGCCAGCACCTGTGACAGGAGGTCATAGAAGGCATCTGACTCATCGGCTTTGCTTGCATCCCTCCACGGATGTTCATCTTCGATAGGGGCATAAGTAACCACCACCACTCCTCGCCTCTGGTTGATGGGAAGGTGGGCCCACAGTGGCCTGAGGCTTACAGCTTCCCACACCTCACCGCCACGCTCCCAGGCTCCCTTCAATTCTTTTGTTCAGAAGAAGAGCCACTCCCTATTGTTTGGCAGTCCCCTGCCCCGAGTAGAGGACTGTCCACCCCTCACGGTGGCAGGAACCAGAGCCGGTCCACCGGACCTCCTGAATGCCACAGAGATCCAGGCGGTACCGTTCCAGCTCCCGACAGAGGAGTGGCAGCCTCTCCTCCGCAACGAGCGTTCGAACATTCCACGTGGCCACACGCAGTGGCTTTTCGTTGTTTCTGGAGGAGCCCCGAGGGTAAGGATTCGGCCTCCTGGCTCCGCCAAATTGGGGTTTGGCCAGGAGACGTCGTAGACGCCTGTCCCCCCCCCCCCCCCCCCCCCCCCCCCCGGGGCCACCGGCAAAAACTTAATTAGACTTTTGGAATCGTGGTGATTTATTTGAAGGCGGAGGAGTTACCGGCCCATGCGCACCCATCCAGAGCCCCCCCGTTTGGCCACTGTGGTGGCCAATCTCAGTTGGCACTGCCGTGACCACCGCACTGCTCACCACAGCGTTGCCGTCCGGCTACAACGAGGAGGTAGGGGGTTGTTTTTGCCGGACCCACACCACCACCACCACCACAGTCACCACCACAGTCATCACCACAGTCACCACCACGCTCACCACCACGCTCACCACCATCACCACCACCACTACCACACTCACCACCACCACCACGCTCACCACCACGCTCACCACCCTCACCACCACCACCACCACCACACTCACCAACACCACCACCACCACCACGCTCACCACCACCACCACCACCACACTCACCCTCACCACCACCACCCTCACCACAGTCACCACCACCACCACAGTCACCACCACCACAGTCACCACCACCACCAACCTGTAACCGGGTCCACAGGCGTGGGCTCCCCGGCGGGGTCCTCATCCGCTGAGGGCATCGGCGGCACCCCAGGGCCTCCGGGTGTCGCGGGGGGCTCCCTGGGCTTCATCTCCACCTCCCCAGCCACGCCGGGCCCCCCACGACCACCGCCGGGGCCCCCCGCGGCTCGAGACCCGCAGCGGCAGCAGAAGAACCAATCGCAGCAGCGGCCGAGCCGTGAGCGCGGCGGGGGGGGGCCAGGCGGGGTCCCGGGGGTCCCTGGGGGAGCCCCGTTCGGGTGGCCCCCGGGGCCGTCGGCGAGGGGGGCCGCCGGGGCCCCCGCAAAGCGGCCCACGACGTTGGAGCGAGTCGCCGCCGGCTGGGCGGTCTCCAGGTTCCCGTGGCCGAGCATTCTGTGACCAGGAGGTCGCCTGACCACAAACTCGCGCCGCTCTGGCTCCTGCTGGGGGGGGGAGGGGGGGGAGAGGGGGGGAGGGGGGAGGGAGGGGGGGAGGAGAGGGAGGGGGGAGGGAAGAAAGGGAGGAGAGGGAGGGGGGAGGGAGGAGAGGGAGGGAGGGAGGGAGGAGAGGGAGGGGGGAGGGAGGAGAGGGAGGGAGGGAGGGGGGGAGGGAGGAGAGGGAGGGAGGGAGGGGAGGGAGGGAGGGGGGGAGGGAGGGGGGGAGGGAGGGGGGGAGGGAGGGGGGGAGGGAGGGAGGGGGAGGGAGGGATACGTGAATTCAGATACAGAGATAGAGAGATACACACACAGCAGTATCCACTAAGTGGTGGTGGTCACCACGGTGCTTGTGCCAGGCTAGGTGCAGGAGGTCACGGGGCAGACCCAGGTGCCACGGGTCGACTGACTGAGATGACTGGCTGGTGCACCACCTGTGCCCCAAACTGTGCCAACCTGCTGTGCTTTAGCCACCCGGCGCTCCGCTCGTTGTTGTGAGCGTCGCTCAGCCGCCCTCCGTTGTTGTTGGAGGGCGAATGCCTCCAACTGCCCAGTAGCCTCACGGTGCACCTAGCCTGGCACTGCCCAGTAGCAGCGTCCTTTACGAGCCTCGTCCACAGAGGCCGATCTTGACACCGCTGGTACCAGTCATCGGCAAGTCCACTCAGCTCCACGTCCTCCTGTACCACATCACTCCATCTCTTCTCTAGCCCGTGCCACTCACTCACCCACTCACCCACTCATCAACTCACTCACCCACTTACTAACCCACCTACTCACCCACTTACCCACCCACTCAACCACTCACCCACCCACTCACCCACCCACTAACCCACCTACTCACCCACTCACCCACCCACTCACCCACTAACCCATTCCACCCACTAACCCATCCCACCCACTCACCCAGCCATCCACCCACCCATCCCACTCACCCATCCCACCCACTCACCCACCCACCCACTCACCCACCCACCCACTCACTCACCCAACCACTCACCCACCCACTCACTCACCCACCCACTCACCCACCCACTCACCCACCCACTCACCCACCCACCCACCCACTCACCCACCCACTCACTCACCCATCCACTCACCCACTCACCCACCCACTCACCCACTCACCCACCCACTCACCCACCCACTCATCCACTCACTCATCCACCCACTCACCTACCCACTCACCCACCCACTCACCCACTCACCCACTCACTCACCCACCCACTCACCCACCCACTCACCCACCCACCCACCCAACCACCCACCCAACCACCCACCCACCCACTCACCCACTCACCCACCCACTCACTCACTCACCCATCCACTCACTCACCCACCCACCCACTCACCCACCCACCCACCCAACCACCCACCCACCCACTCACCCACCCACTCACCCACCCACTCACCCACCCACTCACCCACCCACTCACCCACCCACTCACCCACTCACCCACTCACTCACCCACCCACTCACTCACCCACTCACCCACTCACTCACCCACTCACCCACCCACCCACTCACCCACTCACCCACCCACTCACCCACCCACTCACCCACTCACCCACGCACTCACCCACCCACTCACCCACCCACTCACCCACTCACTCACCCACCCACTCACCCACCCACTCACCCACCCACTCACCCACCCACTCACCCACCCACTCTTCAGCCCATCTCTTCTCAAGCAACGGCCGCGTCTGTTTATCCTTCTAGATCCGGCCAGACAGAATCAGCGTAGGCCACACGGTGGACTGTGTGTGTGTGAGTGTGTGTATGTGTGAATGTGTGTGTGTGTCTTGTGTGTGTCTGCTGCTGAGACTGGAGCGTGCCACTAAGAGGTGGGGCCTTACCATCAGCCCCACCAAAACTAAGCACCTGCCTGGGTATTTTGTACCATCGGACACTCCACCCCCACAACTCCCAATCGGTGATGGGGCAGTTGTGGAGAGAGTGGAGAGTTTCCCATACCTGGGCAGTGTGCTTATGACTGGCTCCAGTTTAACAGCAGAGGTATCACTCCGAATCAGTCGAGCAGCAATATCTTTTCATCGGTTGCGTAACGCTGTGTGGAAGCTACCTGGTCTGTCGCTCCGCACTAAGCTTCAGGTCTTCTCGGCCACGGTCATTCCCTCCCTTCTCTACGCTTGCGAAACGTGGACCCCCCTAATGGAACATCTTCGCCGGTTAGAAACATTTAGGCTGCCCGGCCTACGATCCATCCTGGGTTTAACCAGACTGGATTGTGTGAGGAGCTCACAAATCCTTGAAAGATCTGGGCAGGGTCCCATCGGTGAGCTCCTCCGGCAGGCAAGGCTGCGATGGCTGGGTCATGTTGCCCGCATGCCCAGCCACCGCATGCCGAAACAGCTTTTGTTTGGCCGGATTGAGGGGGCTAAGCGGGCGCGGCACGGGCTAGAGAAGAGATGGAGTGATGTGGTACAGGAGGACGTGGAGCTGAGTGGACTTGCCGATGACTGGTACCAGCGGTGTCAAGATCGGCCTCTGTGGAGGAGGCTCGTGAAGGATGCTACTGGGCAGTTGGAGGCAGTCGCCCTCCAACAACAAAGGAGGGCGGAGGAGCGACGCTCACAACAGCGAGCGGAGCGCCGGGTGGCTAAAGCACAGCAGGTTGGCACAGTAGGGGGCACAGGTGGTGCATCAGCCAGTCATCTCAGTCAGTCGACCCGTGGCACCTGGGTCTGCCCCGTGACCTCCTGCCAGCGGGCGTTCGACACTTCACGTGGCCTCAGGGTGCACATAGCCTGGCACAAGCGTCGTGGTGACGTCACCGCCACTTAGTGGCGAATGGCGGTTGTTGTTGTTGTGTCTTTGTGTGTGTCTGTGTGTCTATGTTGACTGTGTGTCTGTGTGTGTCTGTGTCTGTGTGTCTGTGTGTCTATGTTGACTGTGTGTGTCTGTGTGTGTGTATGTGTGTTCCTCAGTGTGCCGGGAAAGGTCCTGGAAAGGATTATTCAACATCGCCTTGACAGGCATGCTGAGGAGAGGCTTGCGGAGCCCCAATGCGGTTTCAGGAAAGGGCGGTCCTGCACAGATGCCATATTTTCTGTCCGTCTGCTACAGCAGAGGTGTAGGGAATTACAACAAGACCTACATCTCTGCTTTATTGACCTGGTCAAGGCCGATCATACCATCAGTAGGCCCTGGGCTCTGGGTTGTTCTTCGTGCTTTCGGAGTCCCTGATCCTCTGCTCACGATCATTAAGGACCTTCATAATGGTGAGCGGGCCCGGGTAAAACTATGTGGCCGGGAGTCAGAGCCATTCACTGTTAACCTTGGGGTGCGACAGGGATGTCCTCTGGCTCCCACATTATTTAACATCTATTTTGACCACGTAGTTCGTGAAGCCTTCAATAGCTGTACCGGGGGAATCTCCATTTGGTACAGATATGATGGGAGGCTGATCGATGCCCGGGTGCGGTCAAGGGATGGCTACCTATTGCTCAACCACGTTATGTATGCCGATGATTTGGTAATAGCTGCTCATTCAGAGGAGGAGTTGGAGACGCTGCTGCTGAGACTGGAGCGTGCCACTAGGAGATGGGGCCTTACCATCAGCCCCACCAAAACTAAGCACCTGCCTGGGTATTTTGTACCATCGGACACTCCACCCCCACAACTCCCAATCGGTGATGGGGCAGTTGTGAAGAGAGTGGAGAATTTCCCATACCTGGGCAGTGTGCTTATGACCGGCTCCAGTTTAACAGCAGAGGTCTCACTCCGAATCAGTCGAGCGGCAATATATTTTCATCGGTTGCGTAACGCTGTGTGGAAGCTACCTGGTCTGTCGCTCCGCACTAAGCTTCAGGTCTTCTCGGCCACAGTCATTCCTTCCCTTCTCTCCGCTTGCGAAACGTGGACCCCCTTAATGGAGCATCTTCACCGGTTGGAAACATTTAGGCTGGCCTGCTTACGATCCATCCTGGGTTTATACAGGCTGGATTGTGTGAGGAGCTCACAAATTTTTGAAAGATCTGGGCAAAGTCCCATCGGTGAGCTCCTCCGGCAGGCAAGGCTGCGTTGGCTGGGTCATGTAGCCCGCATGCCCAGCCACCGCATGCCGAAACAGCTTTTGTTTGGCCGGATTGAGGGGGCTAAACGGGCGCGGCACGGGCTAGAGAAGAGATGGAGTGATGTGGTACAGGAGGACGTGGAGCTGAGTGGACTTGCCGATGACCGGTACCAGCGGTGTCAAGATCGGCCTCTGTGGAGGAGGCTCGTGAAGGACGCTACTGGGCAGTTGGAGGCAGTCGCCCTCCAACAACAACGGAGGGCGGAGGAGCGACGCTCTCAACAACGAGCGGAGCGCCGGGTGGCTAAAGCACAGCAGATGGCACAGTAGGGGGCACAGGTGGTGCATCAGCCAGTCATCTCAGTCATCTCAGTCAGTCGACCCGTGGCACCTGGGTCTGCCCCGTGACCTCCTGCTCGCGGGCGTTCGACACTTCACGTGGCCTCAAGGTGCACATGGCCTGGCACAAGCGTCGTGGTGACGTCACCGCCACTTAGTGGCGAATGGCGGTTGTTGTTGTATGTATGTGAGTGTATGAGTGTGTGAGTGAGTGTGTGAGTGAGTGTATGAGTGAGTGAGTGTGTGAGTGAGTATGTGAGTGAGTGTGTGAGTGTGTGAGTGAGTGTGTGAATGTGTGAGTGAGTGTGTGAGTGAGTGTGTGAGTGTGTGAGTGAGTGTGTGAGTGTGTGAGTGAGTGAGTGTGTGAGTGAGTGTGTGAGTGAGTGAGTGTGTGAGTGTGTGAGTGAGTGTGTGAATGTGTGAATGTGTGAGTGAGTGTGTGAGTGAGTGTGTGAGTGTGTGAGTGAGTGTGTGAGTGTGTGAGTGAGTGTGGGAGTGTGTGAGTGAGTGAGTGTGTGAGTGAGTGTGTGAGTGTGTGAGTGAGTGTGTGAGTGAGTGTGTGAGTGAGTGAGTGTGTGAGTAAGTGAGTGAGTGTGTGAGTGAGTGTGCGAGTGAGTGTGTGAGTGTGTT